AGGCTCCTGGTGAGTGCACGGGAGGTACCCTTGCTGCATGTGGAGTGACCTGGTGGGGGTACAAGGGAGAGACAGGAGAGAAGGCGAGTGAGTGAAGGTGTGGAAGCAACGGAGGGAAGTCAAAAGGAGCTGCAATTGAGTGATGGGCGAGGCAGAGGAATGAGCATGAGAGAGCAAATCCGGAATGCTAAGGAGGAAGAGAGTGCAGCGGGAATGAGCAGGCAAGGGGCTCACCTTGAGAGGCCAACCCCACCCCATATACTCTCCCCCGTCGCAAGTCTCTCTCCCAGCCTTCCTCCCTTCCCCACTGCCACCTGCACGGCCACAGGGGAGAGGCGCGAGGGAGTGTCGGTGTTGACCCCGCGCCCCTCCCCTCCACCAGAAAGGCACACACAGAGCAGCAGTGAGCGTGCATGGAATCGCCAGACGCACAAGGGAAACGCCAGAAGCTGCCAAATCAGGAAGATAGGAGGGGCCACTGATTGAAGCACGATCACACGCCACAGACCCCAAGGGAACCTGGAGTACCTGAGGGGGATACCTGCACCTGAAAAAATACCTGAAGTTTTGGGGTCTGTGGCATGTGGGCCGGTCCCAAGCAGTGGCAATGTTTCAAGAAAGAAGGAAACGGAGTGGCAGCAAAGGAGAAGCGGAGACGATGGCGGACAAGGGCGAGGGCGTGGAGGAAGAGGCACTTAGCTGGAGGCGTGAAAGCAGGAGGCAATTTAAGGAGCACCAGGTGATTCCTCCCCAACAGCCCTCCTCCCAGACTCCCGTGTGTGCACCTGCACGGCCAAAGGGGAGAGGCGCGAGGGAGTGTCAGTGTTGACCCCACGCCCCTCCCCTTCACCAGCAAGGCACACACAGAGCAGCAGTGAGCGTGCATGGAAAGGCCAGAAGCACAAGGGAAACGCCAGAAGCTGCAAATCAGGAAGATGGGAGGGGCCACTGATTGAAGCACGATCACACGCCACAGACCCCAAGGGAACCTGGAGTACCTGAGGGGGATACCTGCACCTGAAAAAATACCTGACGTTTGGGGGGTCTGTGGCATGTGGGCCGGTCCCAAGCAGTGAAGTGTTTCAAGAAAAAGGGAAACGGAGTGGCAGCAAAAGAGAAGCAGAGATGATGGCAGACAAGGGCGAGGGCGTGGAGGAAGAGGCACTTAGCTGGAGGCGTGAAAGCAGCAGGCAATCGAAGGAGCACCAGGTGACTCCTCCCCAGCAGCCCTCCTCCCAGCCTCCCGTGTGTGCACCTGCACGGCCACAGGGGAGAGGCGCGAGGGAGTGTCGGTGTTGACCTCACGCCCCTCCCCTCCACCAGAAAGGCACACACAGAGCAGCAGTGAGCGTGCATGGAATGGCCAGAAGCACAAGGGTAACACCAGAAGCTGCCAAATCAGGAAGATGGGAGGAGCCACTGATTGAAGCACGGTCACACGCCACAGACCCCAATTGAACCTGCAGTACCTGAGGGGGATACCTGCACCTGAAAAAATACCTGAAGTAAGGGGGTCTGTGGCATGTGGGCCGGCCCCAAGCAGTGGCAGTGTTTCAAGAAAAAAGGAAAAGGACTGGCAGCAAAGGAGAAGGCGAGATGATGGCGGACAAGGGCGAGGGCGTGGAGGAAAAGGCACTTAGCTGGAGGCGTGAGAGCAGCAGGCAATTGAGGAGCACCAGGAGACTCCTCCCCAGCAGCGCTCCTCCCAGACTCCCGTGTGTGCACCTGCACGGCCACAGGGGAGAGGCGCGAGGGAGTGTCGGTGTTGACCCCACGCCCCTCCCTCCACCAGCAAGGCACACACAGAGCAGCAGTGAGCGTGCATGGAATGGCCAGAAGCACAAGGGAAACGCAAGAAGCTGCCAAATCAGGAAGATAGGAGGGGCCACTGATTGAAGCACGGTCACACGCCACAGATCCCAAGGTAACCTGAGGAGCGTACCTGCACCTGAAGGGATACCTGCACCTGAAGGGATACCTGCACCTGATTAAGTACCTGCACCTGAGAGGGTTATCTGGTCTAAGAGGGTCTGTGGCATGTGGGCCGGGCTCAACCAGTGGCACTGATTTAAGGAGAAAGGCAAAAGCACGAGCAAGAACAAACTGGCAAGTACAAGTGATGGCGTGGAAGAAGGGGCACTTAGCTGGAAGCGAGAGAGGAGGTGGCAGTTGAAGGAGCACGAGCAGCAGGCGTGTCCCTCCCCCTGTAGCTCGGCTCTAGCGCTGCTGGGAGGAAGGGGGGGGGAAGGGGGGTGGACGGGAGGGGGGGGGGGGGGGGGAGCAACAAGAAGCGTGCAGAGAGCAACGTGAGTAGGAGCGAAGTGCGTGCAGGAGCGGCGGTGTTGACCCCGCTTGCCTCTCTCCTCCGCGAGCAGTTCACTTCACACAAGCAGCACTGTCGAGTGAGGTCGCAGGGAGGAGAGCAAGGGCGAGCGACAGGTGAGAGAATGACCGGAGCACAGCGAGGGAGGGGAGGGGCCACCAGCGGGGGAACAACAGGCACAAGCCACAGACCTCAAGGGGAACCTGCTGTGGGGGTTTGAACCTGAGAAGGGGGTAAACCTGAGGGGGATACCTGCAGTGCAAGGTCTGTGGCTTGTGAAGCGGGCCCCAACCAGTGGCGAGATTTGAAGGAGAAACTACGGAGGCACAAGTGAGCAAGGAACTAAACGTGACTACCTTTTAGGTAGCAGCGTTGCAGATTGAGATTTAGGGAGGCGAAGGTACTTAGCTGAAGCAGACGCGCTTCTGAGGGTGGGCTCCACTCGACTTGCCCTTGCTAGCATCGTCGCGGGTGCCAGCGGAACAGCTCTCGAAATCGATCTGTAAGGGAAGATTGTGAGATTGAGCCGCCACGATGAGTTGCAAAATTGAAACGCGATGATGAGTTCAGAAGACGATTCGCAAATATTAAAGGCGCGATACTTCAGACAAGTCGCTCGCGAAACGAATCGTGCTATAACATCGAAACTGATAATATCGCGAAATCGAAACGAGAAACCGAGTCGCGACTTTGACCACACCTGAGGGTGAAGCGGCAAGGCGAAGGACGAGCCTCGGTCCGAGCTTCGAGGTTCGTGCGCGTGGCTCTCCGAAATTGGTTACAGTCAGATTGGGGCGAGACGTCGTCGCCTTGACAATAAACCTGGCACATCCGAGCATGCACACGTCGCGTGTCAGAAATTGTCGCTGGCCAATCATTTTTGCATAGGAACGAATTATAAAAATGTCAAATAACAATGACTGTTTCGAAATAGACGAAATCGAAATGACAATAACGGGATTCGATCATTGTTACCTGAAGTGCAGAATTTCATATCATCGCAGTGACTTCTCGCTCCTTCCCACTCCTTTTTCCCCGTGGTTCCCGGCTCCGCTAATCCCGCGACTTCTCGCTCCCTTTTCGCGCGACTTCCCGACTCCCTTTTTCCCGCGACTTCCGGCTCCGCTTATCCCGCGACTTCTCGCTCCTTTTTCCCACGACTTCCGGCTCCGCAATCTGAACGAAGCTCCTACGCAGACCGAAAGGCTTCAATCCAGAATGATTTCGGCAACAAAAAATAGCCTGTTGGCAGTATAATCTAAATATCTGAGCATATTAACAGTGCTGATGAGTGCTGGTGGACGCAATTTCCTCTTAGCAGCTTCTACAATAAGCCAAGCCTGAAGCAAAATGCCTCCAGGTTGTCTTTGGAGCAGAATGCCTAAAGAGAGAAGAAATGAGAGCACGAGGCGAAAGCGCTGTGAAATCCGAGGCTCAGGCGAGAATGAGGCGAGAGATGGTCACACTGGCTGGAATGAGGCGGAGGGGTCACCAACTGCGTCTCCTCTCCTCACCCTCTTCAGATCTACCGTCCAGAATCACTGGATTGTCTGAATTTCTCTGGATAACTCAGATCTCAGCCGTAGACTCGGACCTTCTGCTTGTTTCGTCACGGCAACCCAAGCCTGTTCCCCGTTGGTCTACAGGTTCACTGGCCTGTGTTGGGTCGCGACGAACTGTGATACTGGCTGCGAGTGGTTGGTTCGGTCAGGCTGAATGTTTTTCCGTGACTGTGAGATTCGAGAGTCAATTTCGGTGGCTGGTTGAGAATCGTCCGCGTGGCACATGAATCAGCCGGTCAGGAAAGGGAAAAGAAAATTTGCCAAGTTGACGCCGTTTGCCTGTCCCCTTATTTCGCCTCAGCGACTACGCGAGACAAACGACACCGACTTTTTCAGCGAGATTCCGTTGACAAAGGCGGGAGCTGCGGGATTTCGCTGGTGAACGTTGGACTCTGCTTACTAGGAACCGTCGATTGTCCTCTCATCTGGAGCCGCAGAGTCGTAGTGTCGGTTTGGAACGCGGCAAGCCCAATGGCTTGAATTTGAAGCCGTGATTCCAGGTAGTAGGAGCGAAGTCAATCCTAGCCGTGGATACAGATTCTAGGCAAGCGGCTGCGATTGGGATCTGGGGTTGAGGCTGTCCACCTGAATTGACTGTCGGGAAAAATGGGCGAAGTTGGCGAACGATCTCTGCTTCCCACCTATTCTGTTACTCGTCGCTGATTCGACGGAGGATCTGATCTTCCTGACACCACTGATTTGAGAAGACAAGCCCGAGAGCCAACACATTTTTCCGAATGAATGGAACTGATCCCCTGCAGGTACACCGAGGAAGGGTACAATAAAATATCGCAACATTGAGAAAGGCATTAGGAACTATGGTAGTAAATAAGTTATTTCCAACAGCAGAGGTACAGTGACAATATAAAATTTACGCAATTATACATTTCTAGTAGAGTTCAACATGTAAACGTGATGCAGAGTCTACTCCCCCATCTTTATCTGCTCAAACCACATCTTACTGTTTGCAGCAAAGCATAGGGGTGGGAATGCAGATACGGAAGAATGGTGCTGAAAGAGGACCTGTGAGGCATAATGAAGAACGGTTAAGGGTTTCAAGGAGCTACCACCAGGGAAGACGGTAATGGTTGGTGGATTGGGTAGTGGAGGGACGGCTAATGTGAGGAGAGCTTGAGTGCATATAGCAGCATTCTACCATCCTCCAGCCCCACAAGGATGGCATCCTCCTCAGTCGTTGTGATCGATGCTGCTGGCGACCCCACCCCATCAAACGTCAGCAATGGCTCAAGCGTATGCATGGATCTCACCACTACCATCCCAGCTTCTGACCCTCCCCCTCCCCGGCCACTGGTACTCCCCCCCCTTCCGCTGCCCGCTCCTCCAGTGTCCCCCCCTGCGCTGCATGCTGTGACAAGGAACTGTCCACATTGAGACAACGCGAGATGCGTGATCGGTTCGTCCACTAGCGCATGTTCCAGCCACTCCCCGTTGATGGAGCACACGTGGAGCATGCGGGCGGCGTCGGAGTAGACTGCGACGCGAGCGAGAGGCGCGGATAGTGCGATTCTCAGCGCCTCGTTTGCACAGTCGTTGGGGTGTTGCAGCGACCGCAGGAACCGGGCGGCCCGGAGAGTGGAAAAGACAAGAGATCCGTCCAGGGAGGCAGAAAGAATCAAATCTAGCTCAGAGGAGGCGATGACAGCTGTGACGGCATCGTCGTGGGAGCAGAGCACTGCGCGGGGCTTGGAGGAAATGAAGGGGTCGCCTTGAGCGTGTGCGTGTGCTCCCAGGTGGTCGATGCGCCAGATCATGACAGTTGTGTCTCGGCTGCCTGTGGCTAACCAGTTGCCGTCGTTGGACACTGGGTGGAGGCAGCACACGTGGGTGTAGGAACAAGGAGAGGGGGGTGGGAAAAACGGGGGATATTTGAATGGATTGCTGGTAAATGGGAGATGAGGGATGCTAATGAAGGTGTGTAATATGGTGTCTTGTGTTGTAACTGTCTCCTGTCACTGTGTTCAACAGTCTGCAACAACCGAGCAGATAACAACTACGTGATATCAACAGTCTGGTGAAAGCGAAAGCAACAGAAGCACGCCTGAAAGCAAAAGCAACAGACGCACACCTGAAAGGCAGGTGACAAGATCGCTGTGCTGCTGCAGCGCCTGAACAGTGGCAGCATCATCTACAGACGTGCTGCGAATGGCATTGTCCCAGTGGCCCCCGGAGAAGAGGAATGCTGAGGTGGCTCCTGGTACGATCCCGAAGCAGTCGCCATAGCTGCTAGCTCCGGGAGCAGAGAGAGGTGCTCCAATCCTGCACACTCGGCTTGGGTCACCCATGCTGATGCTATAGTCCTGTTGGTTCGTGAGGACGGGAGGGTGGACGGTTGGGTGGTGAGAGGGCGAGGCAAGGCTTTGGAGTGAATTCAGTTTTGGATGAAGGCGAGAGAACACATGCAAGCCATGTAGGATCAGGTGCAGGTGGAGGGAGGTCACTGCAGAACACCATTTTTTCCCCACAGTGGCGAAACAGCATCCAACACATAACATGGCATCCACTCAACAATCATCCAAACACCCAACCAGAGCCCTGCATTCATTCACCCAGCACCACACTCACCATGCCCACTTTCACGCGCTTCTTTGGAGCATTCCAAGAGCGCACTGTCAGCACCTGCCCCCTCGTCACACTCACTACCGTGCGATCCACCACCCCAATAAAAACCACAGCCATATCATCCTCCGACCTCCCCTTACCCCCCCTCGTCCTCCCCCCAGGACTTCCCACGCCCGCAGCATAAGCGGGAACCACAGTGGAGGAAACAGCCGGGGTGGGGGGAGCTGGTATGATTGCGGACAGGCAGATTGAGGACGAAAAGAAGCGAAGTGGGCGGTTGATTTGGAGGTGCGGGCCGCGTTCGGGGTGGGGGCGGGTGAAGAGCTGGATGGGGGTCTGGCCGAAGGCGGCGATTTGCTGCTCGATGGCTGTGCGCCTGGTCTGGTCTGTGATTGCATCAATGTCCACTGCGCCCTCGTATGTGAGGTAGTAGAACACGTTGTCCGCCTGGAGGAACCAAGGACGGTAAGACAGGCAGAGGAGAAACAGGAGGAGAGCTGAATGGGAGACTGGTTTATCGGGGTAGATTTCTCAGCAGCACCCTCGTATGTGAGATAGTAGAACACGTTGTCCGCCTGGAGGGAGGCGCCGAGGGCAGTGGGACAGAGAAAAAAGCGGGAGGAGGGCGAAAAAGGAGCTTGGCTTACAAGGGCGAAATCAAGAACGCCCTTCGATGTGAGGTGACAAACGCGAAGACCGTATCACCAGATGAGATCAAGGGGAGGGGGTCGTGGGTGATTGGGGGTCTAGCTCGTTGATTTCAAGGCGCCCTTCACCAAGGCACTCAGGGAAGGGCGGGTGAGAGTTCAGAGCAGAGGCACACCCTTTACAGAATCACCACCAAACTTTCTTCATGCTTCCATAATGCCATCTCATTTGAGAACGCTTTTCCGCATAACGGGATGATCCTGCGTCATCCACAGGCCCACAGGCCCACATGCCACCTGCCCACACGCCCACATGTCCACATGGACACATGTCCAGACGCCCACAGATGCCCACACGCCCACCTGAACAGCCGCCTCCCCTCGTTGCTTGTAGCCAAAAACAAGGTCGATCCAGTGGTGCAGCCTCTCGCTCACGTGTTCACTCTCCAGGGCCTCTCGCTGCAGACGCACAAACTCCTCTGGGGAGCCCTGGGGATTACAAGCAGGGTCGGAGGCAACAAGGGTTACAGCTGGGTTCATTTGCTCGCTCTCCAGGGCCTCTCGCTGCAGGCGCACAGACTCCCATGGGGAGCCCTGGGGATCACAGGCAGGTGGTCAGAGGTAACAAGGGCACAGCTGGGCTCACTTGGTTCCACTGCAAGGTCTCCTGCTGCAAGCGCAGAAACTTCGCCAGGGAACCCTATAGCGAGCGAGCAGGGTGAAGGGCCGGCCTGAATGGATAGAACTACAATGCTTGACTGACAGGAACTCTGATGAACCGTCTGCTGCACCCGTGCACGCACCTTGGCCCAGGGAGGCAGGATGACGCCATCGAGCGCCTGTCCGTCCTGCCTGTGGCCCAGGTCGAAGCAGTTGCTGTTGCGCAGGAACTCCGGCTGGTAGAAGAACTCTGGCAGCAGCTCCTTCACGTCGCTCGTGTTGCTCTGGCAGTTGTCCCATGCCGACGCCATGCTGTCAAACAGTCGATCCGCCTGGTCAAAGCGGCCCCCCTGTTGGGAGGGAAGGCAGGCAACGGGGTTTGGAAAGAAGAAACCTCAGAAATATCTCTCATCCCAAATGTTGCCTCTCGGTGAAAAGACGATGTTCTGCAGAAGTATTTTGGCTTGGACTTATATAATATTTTTTACAATGAAATACGGAAGGGTGCATGAAGGAGAGCTTGGAGGAAAGGTGGTGTGTGTGCAACGACAATTACATGCTGAGGTAAACAGCCCTGACGTAAGAATTGGGAGCATTCAGAAAGCTGGTCACACCTGCAGCAGTCGGTGGAGCGTGGCGAACGGCTCCATGCGGATGAGGAAGTAGAGGACCACGCCAGCAGAGGAGTAATGCGATCCGTACAGGAAGCTGATGGGTTAGGAAAATAGCAAAAGGAAGTGGGATTGAAAAGGCAGGATACAGAGGTGACGGGTTGGGGAAAGATGAGAAATAACTTAATCGACACAATGAGGATGTTACAGAAGGGGAAATCTATGGGACAAGGTTTCTTCAGAAGGAGCAGAACGAAAGCATGTGGACCTATGAAGAGCACGCAGACTATTTGCATGTATGCTGGTCCCGATCCACAAACAAGATGAAAGAAGGACGAAAGCATGCAGTGAGAAATAGTGAGCGACCCATGCGCTGCCCTTACCCAGGAATGTCCGTATCCATGCTGTCATATCGCTCCTTGAACAGCTGTAGCAGGTGGGTGGAGGAGAATAGCAGCAGTTAGGGGAAAAATGAGGAGAGATCGCTGGACGACAAGACAAGCTTGCATAAACAACACCGTGGTATGAAAAAAAAACACATCGGCGACTTTGCACCTTGGCTTAGGCCATACCACACATACCTCTAGCCTCTTGGCGTTCAGTGCCCCAACCGGCTTGCTCAAATCTCGGAACGTCTCTGCATTTGACAAGTCCAGCTTGTTTGAAGCATAATCCGCAATCACCCACGGGAAAACAGGGTACTGCATCAAATCGTTGTACGTGCGCCCAGCCAGGGTGTTAAGGATCATGAGGTAATCAAAGGTGGAGATTTTCCGCTTGCTCCATTGAGACCTCGCCTTCTCTGCCAGTTCCTGCCCTCTTTTTCTGTCCACCAAATCAACCAGCTTGCTGCTGCGAGCCGTCGTCCCACGGTTGGCGATAGCCAGAATACGGTGGGCGACTTTGTCAGCTAGCTGAGGCGAGGAGAAGGAGAAGAAGGCAGGGGCCTGCGACGAGGAGAACTCGAGCTCAAAGGCGGATGGGCGGAGGAGGTAGCGTGTCATGCGGATGCGAGCGAGCTCAGAGAGCGACCAGATTCGGCGCATCTTCACGTCGTCCAGAATATCCGTGTGCTTGCGCATCCTGACAGTCACTTTCTCCAGAGTCTTCTCGTTCGGCTGGAACCTAGCTACAAACAGCAGTTTCTGTATCACACGCTTCCATCGCTCCTTAGGGGGGATTTTCTCTCCGCCAGAAACGGAGCCAGAGGAGGACACGGAGTGGGGGTTGTGGAGGGTGCCATCCGGGTGGAAGCGAAGGAAATCTTCGGTGCTGTCCATGGCAAAGTCCACGTAGAAGTGCAGCTCTGTGTGGGAGATGTGCAGACGGCCCGCCAGCTTGCGCTTGGTGGTCAGGAGGATGCAGGGGATTTCTTCCAATACCTGCGTCAACAGAGGAGAACAAGTATGTAAGTAGTTTTTATGTTGGGTGGCAATAAAGTTAAGGGGCCACAACAAGATTGGGTGGCCCGAAGGAGAAGATGCAGCAAGATGCAGCTGCTGAAAAAAACAAACCATGACGTAGAGTTGAGGTAAGGGACCAGACCTCCCTCAAACACAGGTGGACACTTGCGATTTTGTTCTCACGAATTCACTCACCCCTGCCGTGCCTTCTGCCGGAAAACCACGAGCACTTGCCACACCTGTCCCTTCCACCTCCCCTTCCTGCACGCCCTTCTTCCCTCCCTGCCCTGGCTGGCTCTGCTCGTTGCTCTGCTGCAGCAGCGCCATCTCCTCCATCAAGTCCCGGTCCACGTTCACACTCGACACTACCCTCCCGTGCTGCTGCAGATCTCCCACTGAACCTGCTCGCACAATTCCATCCCCCATGCCAAAGCTGCTCCCACCAACAGATGTCAAAGCATCTCCGCCCACTGACGCACTGGCGTCACTCGTATACCTGCGGAAACTCCTGGCATCCGGTCCCGACGCACCAGACTTCTCCAACCGAGTCCCCTCTGACGTCCCATCTGCCGCCTTCCCTTCCTCACCCCCACCGCCCTTCTCTTTCCCTCCCATACCCAAGTTCCGCTCCTCTCCTTTACTAATGCTAAAGTTTTCATCAAACCGGTAGTTCGGACGCATGCGGAATCGACGCCTCTGCGGGTCCTCTGACTTATCCAGCTTCCAGCGGGGTGGAGGGTCATCAGGCGATGGGCCAGAGTACCAAGGGCCCCTTTCGCTGGTCATCTGCCGGTACAGGGTGTTCCACACTGCCTTGGCGTTCTGCAGCTGCTCAGCATACGATAGGGTCGCAACAGCTCGTCGTTTTGCTTCCTGCTCCATCATCCCGCCGAGCACGCTCCGCCGCTGCTGCTCCACCTCCTGCCGTCGCTCCTGTTGGGCCTCCTCCCATGCTTCTATGTTTGGCTGGATGTCCATCAGGCTGTCATTAAGAGAGGTCACGATGAACATGACGTGGTCGCACTCAGTGCGCGCCTGAGGAAATGCACAGTGGAAAGGTGCAAGGGGTGAAGATGTGAATGAGACATCTCTACGAAAGATGAGCGCCCTGTAGCTGACTCGCTGCGTGTACGAGGAGAAAAGGAAGAGCAGGGAGCGGGAATGTGCTACTTGTTTATCAAACTGTACAACAAAACCATAGTACTGAAAAAAGGAGAATGATTAGTTGGATAACATGAACAGTTGATAATGGCTCCTAAACGTCTATGGTTCGAAAGGCAGACAAGAGCTAACTTCAACAAGAACACCTTAAGAAAATGGGTTACAGAATCAGACTTACTGCGCTGCGCACTCTGTCGGCATGGATCACTTCATAAAGAGGATGCCTCTGCTGCTCCCCCTCTCCTGCCGCAACCTGCGACCCTGCCTCAGACAGCCCAGATGACTCAGCTGCCCCATGCCCTGTGCCACTGCTGTTACTCGCCATTCCATAAGCAAAAACTTCCTCATTCGAATCCTCATCATATTCCTCCTCCTCTTCCTCCTCTTCCTCCTCCCCCCCCTCATCATCCAGCATGCCTCCTGTCATTTGAGAAAAGTCCACAGGGGTGTAAGCGGGAGGGCCGCCCCGTTCATCGATGCAGCGCGCTAGGATGGGCATGATCGCCAGGAAGACGTCTCGAGTGCACTGGGCTATGATGTGGCCACGTGCCCCGTCATTCATGTCGCCCACTAGTGCTCGGGCTTCAAGAAGTGACCTGAGAGGGGGAAGAAACGGAGGGAGTGAAGATGGAGGGAAGGGAATTTTGAGGATAATGTCCGGAGATGGATAGTAACAAGAACCAGTTACAAATAGGAACGTACGATAGGTACGTTGTCAGCGAGAAAAGAGTTCATCGTCAGCATCATAACACGAAAACTACTCAACAGCCACAGAGGATGGAGTGCAAATCACCAGAGGAAGAGGTGGGCCTGGTTGTGCAGGCGGTTGTCATCATCATTGGGGAAGACGACAGGCAGGAGCACCACGAAGTGGTTGAGGCAGCGATGGAGAGCTGGCAGCTCAGCTTCGAACATGTAGATCAGCACCAGGCGCAGCACAAATGCAGGACACCCCTGACGAGCCAAGTCCAGCATCTGCTCCTCCACCTCCTGCAATGCCGCCTCGCCTGACCTCCCACTCTCTACTGCCTCTGCTTTGACTGTTAGGCTACGCAACAGCCCTTGTCTCTCACTCCCCTTGTCATTTCCATGTCTCGCACTCCCCTGCTGCCCATGCGGCGCGGCAGCAGAAGCAGCTGCAGAATCGGGTTTGGGCTGGAGGAAGGAGCGGTGGGGAGGTGAGGGCGGCTGAGGAGGCGGGAGGAACGCAGGGTGGACCGGCAGGTGCGGTGTTTCAGGGTCATCATCGTCAGATTGCAGCATGCCTGCAGCAAGGGCCTCTGCTGCCTCGGCCTTGTTGTGCATGATGGTAATGACCGTCCAGAAGTGCTCGTACACCCGCCACTTGCTTTCAACCACCTTGGAGCCCAAGATACTGGGATCAGTGAGGTAAGGGGAAAAGAGATTGCAAATGCGAGGTTTCAGAAAGCTAGGGAAGGAAGAACTTAAAGATAGTTGACAGGAAGGATATAAATTGGCCCAAGAGAAGCTATTTGGGCTGAAGGAAGAGATACGAGAGAGCAAGGTTGGCTGGGTGGCTGAGGGAAGACGGGTTAGGATGAAAGGAGAGTGATCGGTGGTTTATTTGGAGGTGTACCTGCATGTGAGCTCTGCACTGGCGGCAGCTGAGCCCACATTGTCATCAGGAAGCATGTTCTGGAAGATAGAAGATATCGCACTCCGATCCACGCTGTTCCATGTCCCCTGCCTGCCTTCGCCTGTTCCTGTAGCTTCCACATCCTCTTCTCGACTCCCTTCCCCATTCCGCCGTTGCTCACCCTCAATACCACCATTAGCACTGCCGTCGCCAGCACCACTATTGCCATCACTTCCCCTCTCAAGAGCATCAACAGCCTTCCCCGAGTTTTCTTCTGGCAGATGACGAGGCTGAAAGAGTTAGGCACAGGGTGAGCACCACAGAGGGCCACAGAGTTGGGTTAGAAAATGGCCACGAATGCAGCCACTGAAGAGGGCTTTAAGATGATCGACATCTGCGGGGGCCCATCGAGTTCATCAAGGAGTAATGCAGAGAGAAAGCATAGCGACACGGGCAGGGAAAGCACCCTACAGGGGGTGAGGAAATAGGATACATGCCAGGTAACAAGTGGCAGGGACAGTACCAGGTAACTGTACTGGCACGAATACTGACAGGGAAGATGTAGCAAGAGTCGCGGATAACGAGCTCTTGCACGAGGACGAAGAGGTAGAGCAGATTGGCGTGCACGGGCTGCTCCAGCAGATGGTCCCTCGTGGAGCACAGCAGAGGCACCACGCCCAGCAACTCGCCCAGCAGCACACGAAGCATACCCGCATACGGCAGCTTGCCCTGAGAGGTACAGAAGTGGATGGAATGAGATGGGTTGGGGGAGGAATGTAGAAAGTCGAGGAGAGGAGAGATTTTGGGGGTGGTTTAATGTGGGATATACCACACGCTGGTCATGCTTACTCCAATTATGTCAATCTTTAAACTGAAATGGTTTGCTTGCAGCAATAACCATGTTCAGAGGAAGGTAAGGGACGCAGGGAGTGGGTGAGTAACGACAAGGTGCATGCTGCTTCTTGCCAAAAACGCATACCATAAGCCCGTCCAAGCCTCACCCGTTCACCATAGATGCGCAACACGTTGACAGTTTCCGCCACATGCCTCCACCCGCCCTGCACCTTCTGCACTGCAAACGAGTGTGCCGCTAGGAAAATGCGCCGCACATGCACCCACACCAGTTCCAACCCTCCCCCAGGCTGAAGGGGCGGTGGTGGCCGCCCTTCCCCACCCTTCCCTGCGTCATTCCCTCCCCCTGCTGCTCCTGGAACTGTGTCTCTGCCTTTGGCTGCATGCTCAGCATTTGAAGCTGTAAGGTCCAAACCTGTGACCACAATATCCAGCAACCACTGCTGCCAGCCCCGTTGCTGCAAGGGCACAGGGAGAATTGGAGGACACAGATAGGGGTTCTGAGAGACAATGCATAGAGTTGAAACTTTGGGAAGGCGTGAAGCACGGTTAACTCTACTAAACAAAAACAAAGAGTCCTCTCTTTTCAAGCCTCAATCTTTACGTGATCTACAGACCCTTGAATAGGCTTCAACGGAGAGTAGATATGGGGGCAAAGCGGCGAGTGTGAGCACATGGGACATAAATACCTGTACGAGCTCAGGACAGCACAGCCGATCACCTCTACCACCTCCAGAACGCAGAACATAACTAGCAGCTAGCACGAGCATCGACAAATTGCCTCTGGAAGATGGCAGCAGCGAAGTTCTTACCTCAAGAAGCTTGAGTCTATTGGCTTTGCTGTTGGAAATTAGATCACCCAGCCTTTTCAGCGTATCCTCCACCACCTTCACTCCCCGCGCTGACAGGCCACCCTCCCCAGCAGCACTGCTGCTACTTCCCGGCCTGCGGCCGGAGCCACTTCTGCTTACATCCCCTCTGCTACCTGCTCCGGACGTGCTGGCCGCCAGCCTCAGCTGTCCAACAATAAGAGGCAGCAGCAGCCTAAGCATCTCAGGTTTCACTATTGACTTGCGTGAGCTGCCTGCTTCTCCTCCACCCCTGCGAGGAAGGATGCCCCAGGGGGAGGGCTTGCCTCCAGACGTGAAGCTACTAAAGGAGGTCGATACGGCTGGAGCTGCAGGCACTGTTTCTGACACTATTGCTCTGACTGCCGATTGGCCCCCATCTTCTCCATGAGCGCTTCCTTGTGCAACTCTGTTACTAGCTGCTCCGTGTGGCTCAGGCTCAGGGGGTTGCGGGGCAGAGGCACTGCGGGGCATGCCAAAGGCTGGTGTTGCTCCCTCTGCTGCTCCTCCTGCTGCTCCTCCTGCTGCTCCTGCTGATGGTGCTGCTCCTCCTGCTGCTCCTCCTGCTGCTCCTGCTGCTGGTGCTGCTGCATTTGTTGGTGCCGAATGTCCGGCTGATGGCATAGGTATGCGAGGAGGAATGGCATGAGAGCTTCTGGGCGGAATCTTCTTGTGAACAATGGCATCATGCGTGTGCGTGCGAACCGACCGCTGATCGGCGGGTGATGCACCAAGCAGAAGATCAAAGAGCAGAGTCTCAAGCCCAGGAGACAGACCATAAGGCATCAGATGTTGGCACGTAAGGTCGAGAAGCATCTTCTCCTCCTGCTCCACATCCCCAAGCTCGTCCTCATCCCCCTCCTCCTCCTCCTCCTGCATCCCAAGCCAATTCCTCCCTAACCCTCCTGCCCGTGCCGAGCCTCGAGCTCGGCCTGAGCCTCCTCTGCCAGATGCGCCCCTGGTGCCAGCTTTGGTTGCTGGGACCTGCTTCTTGGTTTCGCTCATCAGGGTGAGTATGAGGCACAGGGCGAGGAGGCGGATCTCTTCCTGCGGCCTGAACAATGGGCGAATGGAGGAAGGAGAAGCAGCACATGGGAGAGGCGAGGCGAGATAAGTTGGTTGTGAACGAGATGCCCTGAAATACAGAACAAGCTTTCAGTCTTTTAAAATATGAAACTCCACAGCCTTACCTAGAGAGCAGTCCAACAAAGATCTGAGGCCCATCTAGAGCTGAAATGTGCTCCAGAAACGACTTGGCAAGGTTGGGCTGTGCAATCAGCCCAAAGATCGCTCGTAGCACATCCTTCACTGCTCCAGCGTCCTTGCTCGCCTCCATGTACACGACCAGCGCCTTCACATCTGCCTCTGTGAACCCGCCTTTCAGAACGTGCTGCAGCAGACTCAGAACCAGCAGCCGCAGCTTGGCCACTTGCTGAGGAAGCGGGCGTGTGCCGAGCACCCGCCGAGTGACAGGCTCTACTAAGGGCTTCACCCCGATGGCGTGTCGGCCCTGCGGCTTGTCCCAGTAAACCCGCCGAACTATATCTAGTAGGCGAGGCAAGGAGCAGACGGATGGCACGAGCCAGGGTTGCCGCTCCATGTGGCGCTTGAGGGATTCAAAGAGTTCCCTCTGCACGACGTAGGGCGCGTAAATCCAGAGAGAGGCGTCCATGTAGAGAGTGAGGATGACACCACGAACCATGCGCTCCCGAAGGCTTTGTTCTGAGAGCATGGAAGTAGTTGGGGGAGGATGAGAGACAGAATAATGGGTGAGTTATTGATTGGTTGGTACCACGACATGTGAGTCAGTATGACGGTAAAAAGGGAGATGCGTACAAGAATCCTGCAGTTGCATTGCATCAGCCTACCAGTTTCTTCGGCAAATGAGTCCACCATGTTCTCCAGCGTGAGCACGAGACTAGCTGTCAGGTGTGTGGGTGAGACATGCTGCAACAAGAAGTTGATCACTGAAAACCCCCCAATAGACAGCATCGCCTGCTGACTCCCCGTGCTCCCAGCCAACAGCTCTGTAAGCAGGTTGATAATATCCACTGCCAACTGTCCATCCCCTTCGACCACCGTCCCCTCCCCCATGCTGCTGTCACTCCCCACAACTGGTAAATCTAACTGCGTGAAGAGGGGCAAGAGGGCTGAAACGCCACCCACTGTGCTCAACACCTCCTGCAGCCGCTGCCGATGGCACCGCTGCACTCCTGGAAGCATCGTTGCGTCAAACACATGAACAGGGGAGACACTCGCACGGGCCAAAGCAGCTGCGGCTGCAGCGCTGTTCGCAGCCTGCTGCTGGGATAGCAGCCAGGCAGGGGAGGTATCAAGAACCAGACCAGCGGCATATGCTTGGGCGTTATAGCTTAGAGCAATACGGGAGCTGAGCGAGTCGGGCCCGTCAAAGAGAGAGAGAATTTCATTGTCTACTTGTGTGCGCAGGAGGGCTATATCCGTGGGTTGGAAGGTGTGATTGTAGCCAGGGCCTAGCTTGTGGATGCAGGAGAGCTGAGGAGAAGAGAGAGGTTCACTAAAAAGGTAGACGGGGCCAATCTGACCCTGAAAAGGATGCGAGGTCTGGAACAGCCGAGAGGAGCGAGCATCGGACTGGGGCAGAGGAGCAGAGGCCCCTATGGTGGCGCGAATCAGAGGGTCCTGCAGGCGCGGATAGCTGCACTTTGCCTTGCCTACCAGGGCGCCATCTATGTAGACTCGGAGCATACTAGAGGAGGAGAACGAGGCGGTGGAGTGGGAGATGGCGATGTGATGCCAGTGGCGGAGGGCCATGCTATGAGGCACCTCCACTATCACGTCCCGTGATCCTGCCACCTGCCGAGAAATATGAGCAATGTGAGCAGCAAATGAGGAAAACGATGACTTGCGCTCAGTATTTGACCAGCAACCAACCGTGTAACGCAGGGCCAGGTGATTGGCTGGACAATATTCAAACGGATGCATACATGTTTGTATCTATCTACGGATGTTGAACAGTGTGGCAGGAGCCTCACATGGATAAGGAGGGAATCGCTGGTGAGAAAGCCACTGCAGCCGTTGCCTTGATCCGTGTAGAAGCTGAAGATCGTCATGGGGCTGTCATCTCGGACACTAACACTCAAGGACTCGCCCATCCAGTGTCCCCTGCGTGTGATCGATCTCATGCTTGACTCCTTGGGTTCTGAGCTGATTTCCGGCCCCTTCCTTCTGAGGCTACTGCTCTGTGACGTGTAGTTGTCGTTGTCAGCGCCGCTGCTGGCGATGTTGGCTGCATTGTAGCTTGGAAGATATTCACAGCGTAGCCAGCAGCAAAAGGAGTAGCCCTTAGTGCAGGGAAAGCGGAAATCAGTGGGGATCTCAAGGCCCTGGGGCAAAACCGGGAGGAAGATTGGCAAGGATGATTTGATTGCAAAGTTCAAAATAGGTGCCGAGGAAAAGGGAACAGTCAATGGAGGGGAAGGGACGATTTACGGAGGGAAAAAAGGGAGATGAACAAGAAGAAATGCAGCGATTAGAAAAGCAACAGCAATCAACTGTGAATGCAGTTTTGTTTAACTCACCGATTCAAACCCATCCATCTCGAAGTAAGAAGCAGGGCCATCATGCCTCAGCACACCCACGAGTGTGCGAAGCAGCAACGACACCCTTTTGGGACGGCACCCATCGACGGTGCTCCTCATAAGCCTGAATATCGCAGCGATCTCCTTCCCGTTTATGCTGTGCTGCCCCAGCTTTGCTATCAGCTTCGACAACAGAGCCAGTATTGCCTCCACGTTCTTTCGAGTCAGCTTCACCTCCACGTCACCTCCACTGTTAACCGATATTGCCTTTTCCGCCCCATGCTCCCCAGTCTCATCCAAGAGTTTCTTGTAACTCTTCCCATCCTTTCCCAAGTCCTGGACGCCTTCCTTGGATTCAGAGCCATCGCTGCCATCTGCAACAACGTCCAGATGCTCCTCTTCTAGCTCTCCCAGCCACTCCAGGAGGTCAAACATGAGGCCAGCACGGGAGCAGGCAGCACAGTTGCCAGCGGAGCGGTCAAGCAGGTTGTGCAATGACTCGAGACCAGACACTATCTGGTGAGGATCAGCCTGAGGAGGGTAAAAACCAGCGGAGAGTGGAAGATGCATCATGTTGGGGTTGAGAAGAGACTAGGAACGAGTGGCGAAAAAGAGGTGGGTAAGGAAAGACAGAGAGGCTATATGACGGGGCTGATGGGATTGAGACTACGTGGTACACACTAAGCTGCGAGATTATTCCCTCCAAAGAATGTTTTTTTCCGCTTGAGCAAGGCACACCTCGTGCAGCAAACGGAGCCAGAGAATGACGGCATTGGGGGAGTGGATGCTGCCCAGGGCTTGGTCTCCGGCCAGGCAGTCCATGGCCATGTCCATGACCGCACTCAGCAGCACTGGTGGGCAGGCTCCACTGAAATGAGGGGGCAGGTAGAGCGCAAGGGAACGGAAGCCTGGGCCAGCATGTTTGAGGAGCACAGCCTGTGGCGAGAAGAAGAAAAAAAGTGAAGGGAGAGAAAGAAAGAGGAAGGAGGATGAGCGAAGAGAATCCAGAGGTTGAAGGAAGCAGGACTGAAGTTGAGAGAGGAAGGATAACATGGAGTACAAGACGAGCAACACAGAGACGACGAAACAGGCTTGCTAAGTAGTTTCTGCTGCACAAGCGGCGCTGTGGCGGATTACTGACATGGATTAAAACCTTACCTTGGCAGCTTCATTGCCCACGGAAAGGAGGGTGAGAGTACGCAGGATCATAATGGCAAGAGATCGGCCAGCTTCCTCCTCGTACTGCACCCGTAAAAGGCCAATGAGGCGAGGAAAGGCATCCACGTTCACACAGATGTTCTGGTTCACTGAGCTCTCGTCCTCCTTCACCACCTCCTGCACCACTGCCAGCATTGCCTGTAGCTGTTCTGCTGCGTCTTCCCCACTGAGCCCTGTGCCACCAGCCACACCTCCACCTCTTCCCACACCACGCCCGTCTCCTCCTCCGCCTGCGCCCCCTAACTTCTTGCCACTGCGTGCCACAGTCATGGCCTCAAAGAAGCGCTTGAACAGAGTTGACTTTACCGATGGGTCGGAAACCGGGGCCTGTGCAGGGGTAAGGAGGCAGTATGGAACATTGAAGCATGTGTAGGGGCTGCTGCTACACTCACAAGCACAAGCCGCATTCAAGTTTATGAACTTTGCATACAAGGACTACAACCGCTATCCAGGCCTCATTAGCATCCGCACGCTCGACTTACATTCATGAGCAAGGCAAGGAGTTGAAGAGCCAAGGGTCGCAGGGTTTTCTCCCGCAGCAGCCACAGCAAGGGCATGAACGTCTGTGGGCTGGTGGCAGCCTGAGCCAGAAGAGAGGGCGAGCACTCCAGATACGACTCCAGCAGCTTCAGCACCACCTCCCTCGCCTCCTGCCACTCCTCTCTCAGCGATTCCACCTCAAGAACCAGACGACCTGACTGAGACACCACTGATCCAGTTTCACTTGCTGCAGTTACACCAGCAGCAGTGTCAGCAGCACCAGCAACACCGTCAGCCACAAGTGAAGCTGCATTTTTGGGCCCTAAAAAGTAGCCCTGAGCATCCATGCGGAGGTAAGCAGCCTGCTGCCGTTCAATGACCTCCCCAATGTGGTCACCGCACGCCGTGGAGAGAAGGCAAGGCACGATTCGGTCTCCACCCTGAAGCATGCGCTGCAGCGCATGAACCAGCAGCTGGGATTCTGACGGTATTCGGCAGCAGCTGAGCAGAGCATGAAGGACAGCATGGAATTCTTGCTGGAGGTCCTCTTGCCAGTCCAGGGAGGCAGAGAGCTCAATGAGTGCGACAATGCTGCTCCTGAGATCCTCAGCATTGCGATCGATTGAAAGAGCAACGTACTCCTTGTCGGCATCCAAATCTTTGGATTCTCTTTTGCCAGCGCCTGAAGGTTGCAGCGTGACCACGTGGCTTTCCCCCGACCCCATGCTCTTCACCAGTGTCACCCCACCAGCTTGTGCCCTTGATGACTGCGCGTTCTGCCAATCTCGCCAACCTGTACTTTCCTCCTGACTGCCTAAGCCTTGGAGTTCTGGGATGGGAGGAGCAGGGCTGCCTCGCGCAGCAGCAATGGAGGAAGGGGTCCATGCAGAGAGTTGGGGTGAAGTAGTGGACAACTTGGGAGGGTTCAGCCATGCAGCTGGGTTATGTGGGGTTGTAATGCTGGGAGAGCCGAACTCATTTCTGAGACCAGAGGAATTGCGGAGAATGGGACCCGGAGATGGAACGGGGATTGAGAGAGGAGGCGTTCCAGCGCCTTCACCTGCTGCTCCCCCCATATCCACGCCACTTGCTTTTCTATCTCCTGCAACAGCAGCCCCACTTGTTGTGCGAGCTGTGCTTTCATCGGAGAGCAGAACGGAGTCGAAGAAGAAGAAAGGGCGGGAGAAGAGAGCAGGCGCGACATTGGCGCTGTGGAAGTGGCTAAGCGCGTTGGCATGTGACCCCAGGAGGAAGCGCAGGACACGCACGACATAGCGCTGAAGCTCAGTCGAGGAATTCTGGAACATCACTGTTGCTGCATCGTCCAGCCAGTCAGCGTCTCCCACTTTCACCGGGTGGAAGGCGTGCAAATACACAGAAATGACATCTGCCATGATCTCCTCTCCATATGCCCTCTTTGCATCCAGCTTTCCAACCTCTCCTAGCGCGCCTCCTGCCGTTGCTGTCCCCCGACGGCGAGATCCAATTCTTTGAGAATCCGAAAGAACAGGAGCAAGCACCCACTCGTTCCCGTCCCACAAAAACGACATGATCAAGTTGCAAGCTGCAGCCGCCCTGAAGTTCCACGCTGCCAGCTGTCCGCCAATATTCAGGTGCTCGTTCATGGCTGCAGAGAGAGCATCCATACCCATCCCCATGCCAGTCTGTTCAGAGGTTGTCATGTCCGTGAATGGGTCACCGCGTTCAGCGGGGTGAGAGGAGAATGCGGCATCGACAGCACTGCTTGGTTTGGAGGCGACATTGCTGGGAGAGGTGGACTCAAGGGAACCAGGTTTCGCGAAGACCAACGAAGTCCATCGGATGAATTGAGCGATGTGTGGCACGGCATTGAGAGAGTGCAAGGATCGGGCTGCTGGAACACTACCGAATCTGCAAGATGATAGAAAGAATAAATGACTCGTGACGTTGAGAAGTGAAGCCGAATGTGACAGGGCAAAAGAAGATAACAGAAAATAAAAAAATATCTTTCTACGCAAATCTAGCAGAGCACACGGAGTAGGTACCAAACAATGCGGAGCACATGTCAGGGCGAGATGACGAAAACGTAATGGAGGAAATGCATGACCTCAGATGCTGTCTTACACAGATTCTTTGATAGTGGAAAGAGCCAAGAACTGCAGGCTGTACTCCTTTAGCAACTTGCTCGCAAGCATGGTGCGGTCCATGCACCTGGACATCACGAAGACTATGGTCTGTCAGAACAGAACAAATGACAGTTCACTTCACTGGCAACGATTAAAGGAGTGAAAGGCAGATGGTCCACGCGCACTCACGGGGTCGAGGGCAGGAGCCATGAAGGCCAGGCAAGCAGCCCAAGAGTGACCTGCAACCCCTCGTGGGCGATGAAGGCAGAGCAAGACTGAGGGAGCGCAGTGACCACCGCCCATACCGCCTCCACTCCCTGCAGCAGTGCGTCCTGTGCTTGGTCTGACAGGGACGTCTCTGTCTGCTGAATGTAGCGGACTGAAGGGATGAAGGCTGGAAGGGGCCAGAGGAAAAAAAAAAAGGAACAAAAAGGATGACAAAAAGGATGACAGAAAGGATGGCAGAAATTGATGGACCAGACACTGCAAGAATGTATTATATGTAAGACATCATAAGAATGCAACGAAGTGTAATGCATGCGATTCGAATCTCCTCAAAGACTCACCAAGGAGAACAGAGTGGCATTTGTCTTGAACACTGGTTAGTAACTTGCTGAACTCTGCCATCCGTTTTTCCTCGCTCACCACCTTTCCTTTTGGCGCAAGCATCTCGTGAGTCACAGAAAACGCCTCAAAAACTTCCGTCCCCAGTGCCGTCTCTGGCTTCTGGCCAGGGACTTCCCTCTTTGAGAACCCTTCTTTTGGACCATCAGGCCCACCGCCAGAACTCGTTTCTCCTTGCTTGGTTTTCTTGAGCATCTCAGACCTCTTGCTTCCTCCCGTGCTAATAACAACCTTGGGAACCAGATGTCCTTTTCGCTGAATGGCAGGCTTCAAAAAATTGATAACAACCTGCAGAATGAGCTGCGAGGCGGAGAGAAGGAACTGCAGCGCTTGCGACTTGGGTGTTGGAGCTGCCTGGCTGCTGTGGCCTCCGTCACTCTTCCAATCACCATCATCCGCATCCTCTGTGCCCAGAGTACCAGCTTCACGGGGTCCATGTTCAAGCACTGGCTCGGAATAGGAAGGTGTTTTGCTAGCTCGAATTCTCGTTGACGCGTTGTGGGCATCAATATCCATGGTGATGCCTGCAGAACGCGAAGTAGAAGAATTAAAAGTCGAAACATGCTCTAATATCAAACGTTGAATATGAATAGAAATGGACATGAATTTGAGGTTGTTTATGTATACAGGGTTAACGAAGTCACCCCAGCTCACCTTTCAGCACATCCAAGGAAGTGACGATTCCACGGAAAAAAACAAAGCGCTTGCGGTTCTCAGCACTTTCAGTGATAATAGCTGCAGCCTGAAGCACATTGATGGCATGCTCGCGGTCCCGCTTTGGCACAAACAAATCAATGTCTTCGTCTGGTCGTTCATCTTCGCTCTCAGGCCCACTTCCAACAACGAGAGGACTTTCCTTGGAAATCTCATCCTTCCGCTTGGTTGATGCAGCTGAAAGTTTATGCCAGTTAAGAAGGTAAATATGGCACAGATTAGTTGCAAAGTACTGTAATTGCAGCTCCGTAACTGATTACTGGCACAGGGAGGGCCTGAATGCACACGCGAGATTAGCATGTAGGTGATGCAGAAATAAGGTCATCAAGACGAAAGAATCTCACTTTGGGCGAGATCAGAAAGCCACACCAGTTCTCTGACAACGCATCGAATCATCTCCAAGGGATGAGCCTCGCGAAATGAAACGCCTTCCTTGTCTTCGGAACCTTCATCTGGTTCTGTTGGAGACGAAGAGCTTGGAGGGTCCCAATCGTCATAGGTTTCCACGAATAAGTCAATCAAACTTTTGGCTGCAGAACGCGTCGGGTCCTGTGTGGAGCCACCGCAGGAGATGCGACATAAAAATCCAGAGTGAACACTTATGGTGTCAAATCATAAAATCTGGTAAATAAACAGGGTTGTCAGGTTAACGTGACATTCTTCTTCCGCGCGAATAAGAGCCTGTACTTCAGACCTTTCAGACCAGACACGGGAAAAGAAAAATGACGATGTTGACAACAAATTGAATTCGCAAACTAACCTGCTCCTTCCTTGCAAGGTAAACCCAAAGCAGACGCTTTAACTCAGCTTCGTTCTCGTCATCATCCCTGGTGGACGCCAAGTGGTGATTAAAGGTGTTTCAGCGATAGATGGAATTATACGAAATGTCCAGAAGGCTGACCCAAGAGAACTTGTTGATGAGATGAAAACGGGAAGCTTGATGGCTTGTTGTCAAAGCATGGAAAAAAATTAAAGCATCCACGCGACGACAAAATTGTCCGCACTCTGATTTAACGATCCATATATGACTTAGAGCTTGTAATGACCAGGTGATCTGCAGGGTCAGGCACGTCAGAAGAAAGTGCTGCTGACCTGAAGTGATAGTTTTGGTGCCATTCATCCGGCACGACCTTATCCACAGGCCTTTCAGCGGTGCCTATACCGAGAATGGACCAGATTCCTTGCATCTTGATCAAATGTCGGGTCCGGTATATGAAGTCGATGACCCGTCAAGTAGATTAAATTACAGAAAAGTACGTGGCATTTTTATCTTCAAGCTTAATCGGTCAATAAAGATGCTGGTAATAAGCGGCCATTTGGATTGAATAGTATCTGTCAATCCCTGCTGATTAAGAGGACATTAGTAAGTCGGCTCGCAGGTAGACAGGAAAGGCGTGAGCTCATTGCAATAGCGAACCTTCACTTCGATAATAAAAAACCGCGAGACGAGTCTCAGAGTTACAGATTCTGGTTGTAAAAACGCATTGTCTATCAGAAACGCGTTGCATATTCTTAGTCAGCCATTGCTTGACATTATTCTTAGTCCTGGCTGAAAGCGAGAACCTGGTTCCATCAGGGAAAAGAAGTGACTAAGGCCAAGAATCTGCTATGCTGGGACGTTCGATAAAATCAAGAAGCATTCCCTGAGCGCCAAGCATACCCTCCTCCCTGCGTAAGGGTGTCGCAATGTTGCTCTGGTGGGGCCTTGCGACGACATCAATCGTCCCCAACGACTTCCGCAACTGCATTATTGCTTGGGATCGGGCTGGGGCTGAGGCGAAGGATGAGGAAGCGCATTTCGCGGCGATAAAATCATTGGCGAAGGCAGAGTGAGTCGTAGAAAGCCGGCAAGACTCAAGGAACTCTGCGACTTCTAACGAGCGAACCCCCAACGCTTTGTAACAAATGTTAATGCTATGTCTTTTCTTAGCTTTTAGAGTTATGAGAATTTATTCGTGATCCTAAGAAACTAGGGCCAGTGGACATTTAATCATTCTAAGGAGATTAATAATATTATTATATGTTTTAGTTTCGTTGTTGTGAAATCATTACTATATACCTCATTACTATGATCGGGTTCTCAAAATTACTTACAGTGTTGCCATATCTTCCGGGTACCAACATTTCCTAATATCGAGTACAAACATTTCCTCCCTGGTTTGTCGGTTGGTGCGAGTGTATGCCTTCCCTATCCTTTCCCCTTCCTGAAACCCTCTGCTCTGCCATCTCAAGATTTCGTTTCTGACAAATTCCTGACCAGCACATCTTGCCCGTTCGCATTCAGTCACCACGATCCGATAAGGTACCACGTGATGGCGTCGTCGCTTCCTCCCGCGCCAGAGTCCCTGGTCGACGACTTGCCGCCGGTTTCGCCCACTGCAGCGATCAAGGCGGCCGTTGTCCGCATTACTGCAGCCGCCACTGGTGGTGCTGTGCTCGGCGGAGCTCTAGGCTTTGGTAAGCCGAATGGCATTGAGTAAGTGATGGTTGATACCTGATGATTTACGCGCGATAAGTGGCTTGTTAAAACTGCGAAGCTTTATCAAGGTCACATGATGACTTGTCCACCTGTCGGCCTGTCGCCAGTCTCAGTCTTTTGGGACAACCACTTAGAGCCGAGATGAGCCACTCGTTTATCGCCTTCTCTAAATGGGCGATTCCTGTTAAGTTCCTGTCATTCTTGCGGGCCATAAGGCTTCGCCGCGAACCTTTCAAGAGGCTCTTGTGTCACTGTCGCTGCTTTTGATGGATAGAAATCAATCTCGTCAATTCACATTGTCCGCCTCATTCTTCGCTTCAATGTTCCCCTCATTCTCTCTCATTGCCCTTCCCCATTCCCCCTCATTTTCCCTCATTGTCCCCTTCATTGCCTGCCTCATTGCCCCCCTCATTCTCCCCCATTGTCTCTTCATTGTTCGCCTCACTGTCCGGCGTCTCACGACCGTGCAGGGCTGGGCTTCGTGGCGCGCGAGGGCACCAAGGTAGCCATGCGCGAGTCTGCCTTTGGCCTCAAGGTGAGGCGAAACCAAGTAATTTCAATACCATCCTGTTACGTCGTCTTGATTAACCCTCTCCACAAATCAAGTAAGGTTATAGTGTAAGCTGACAGTAATCAGGTTCTGAGCCTTTTGGTATGAGAACCCCCGAGGCTGATGAAGGCTTGCTTGCGATCCCAGTCCTTACAAGTGCCATTCAGATGTAGTTCACCTGTGTGTACTGCCGGGATGAGATTCCTCAAGTGAACGTGAACAGATTAGGAGATGTTATGGACATGTGTGAGCCATGCTGTGTGTAAGATGAAACGTGTGCGAGCTTCTGATGTGTGCAATCTATTGATGCATGCAAGTTCATGTCATTTGGTGTGTTCCAGTCAAGCTGACCCTGTTTCACTACCTGCTCATGCTTCCCCACCTTGTTCCCAGACTGTGGCTATCATGTCAGCTGTCTATGCTGCCACGTCAGCAGCTATTGATAACCTGAGGAATGATCTACTTGACAGTGAGTGCTTTGGTGACGATCGACGTACATGAACACATGTCATCCTTCAGTCTCTTTCCTTCCAATCACTGCCGTACATGTTCACATTACCATTCTACCCTCCTGACACTCCTCCACTCGGTGATCAGTGGTCGCCCTTATCTCACTCGTTTCAATCCATGCTGATTTCTCATTGTTTGTGCCTGTACCAGGTGCAAAGCCAGGGCTTGCTGGATGTGCTGCTGGACTGGCAGCAAGTGTCCCAGGTAAAATTCAAGAGTTTTTCAATGAGCCTGCCTTCCATGTCCCTGTTCGCAATATTTCCCACACCATCTCTGCCGTCCTGGCATGCCTTCTCTGTCTCTATCGTGGCCACATTCTCTCCACATTCTTTCTCTCCGTTTTATTGTGAATGCTCGTGTTAAAACTCTTGGTTCGGCTGCTGCAGGTCCATCCATGGCAATGTTGCAAGGATGTGCTGCCTTTGGCCTCCTCTCCTTCGTCTTGGATTTCTTTGCACCGGCTGAAGCATCTGCCAGTCCGCTCAGAAGCACTAAAGACCTTCGTTTCAACTGGAGAGGACGCAGGGCATTAAAGAAGCTATCTCCAAGGCCTGAGTCGCCGCTTGATAGCTTGCTCTCCCTCGCGTTGCCCACTCCTCGTGTTGCATCACCTCCTCGACACTAACATGCACACTGCAGTCTGACTTTCTTAGAGCCCATAATTTTAATCTTCAGTTTCTGAAGTCAGATTGGAGGCCAAAATCATCCTCTCGATTCTAGCTCGAACGTTTTTCCAAGGAGATTTTTCTAATACAGAGATGGTTCATGGCTGTTCCTAAAACTCCAGGATTAATGCAAGTGTTCTATAATTCGCTTGAGGAATACATACTTGCTGCTTCCAAAGGTTGGGCACAATGTTATGGGCGGAGATTTTCTGTTCAGCCCAGGGTGTCAACTATTTTATTTCTGCTTGAACCCGAACACCTGACCTGACCTGCACCCACAGTGCACGCATGTTGGCATTCGTGTTCGTCAAGCCGGAACTAGGACAAACACCATGAGCGGCGCCGATTTCGCCAACAAGAGTAACTCAATTCAGAATTTCGTGAAGGGACTCTGACCAGGTCTTGCCTATCGCTCGCAATACATCCAAAAGTTTGCGACGAAAGGAGAATTTTCCTCGCTGCCCAAGAGTACGGGAATCTCCGAGCGAGATGCGCTGCTGCAGCAGACACATCTGGCAAACAGCCTGGCGAAGGCATATGTTCCCGCCCCTTCTGACTTCCCTCCTTGCTCTTCTTGCTCCCATTGTCGTGGCGTCTTGCTCCGCACTTGTCGGAAGAGCTTCTCAGGCCACGCTCGCGAAGGTCGATGACACCGCATAGACCGTGATTCGCGCTCTCCGGCGCTTTATAGGTGACGCCAGATTCGCAGGCTCGTGACGCTACGTGTATAATGGTAACGTTGTAGACTCGTGGTCTCACGGACCTCTTCCCAGTCATAGATCCAATTCGCTCTCGACCGTCGTTAAACTTTTCGTCATGGCGGTTAAATGGCGTCCGGCTGTTCTAAAGCGTCGCATCGCGACACGGCCTTTCGGTGCCTCGTTACTATCCCCGCGTACTCCGGCTTTCGCGGCCGCGTGTCTGCTACTCTGCACGCTTGCGACACCCCTCGTCTCCTCGCCTGCTTCTGCAGCTCCTTCACCTGATGGTAACCACGCAACGGTAACCCTCTGACGACCATGACCCCTTTTCTTCGCTCCTTTCGCTTTCCCCTTCGTTTCCCCCCATCTCTCCCCCCCTCCACCCCTCCACTCCCTCCCCCCTTCCCCTCCTCTCCCCTTCCCCCCAATCCTCTTGTTTCCTCCGTCACTTCTTCTGCTGCGCCTCTTTCCACGCATCTGAGCCACTTCTGGCCCTTCTGTCGTGAACCCTTTTCTGGCTTGTTGAGTCGAATTTGACAATGCCCTTCCGTGCTTTCTCCCCTTCCTTGAATTCCTCCCCATACGTCGTTTTCCCAATATCGTTGTGCGGTCGTCGTCTCCCATCACTGCATACAACTCTTCCGTTCCCCCCCGAGCCCACTTTCCGCGTCCACTCCCCACGACCATTTTCCGCGTGCACTCCCTGCGCCCATCTTCCGCATGCGTTCCCCGCGCCCATTTTCCGCCTGCATTCCCCGCGTCCATTTCCCGCGCGCATTCGCCGCGTCCGCTCCGCGCGCTTGCCCTCCCGCCCTCCGTCCGTTCCATCAGCGGAAGCTCTTCTCCGCGTGCGCGCGACGCTCCAGCTGTCGCAGGAGTCCGCACTGCCGTCGTGGACCGATGCGACGAGTCCGTGCGACGGCGGATGGGAGGCGGACGTGAGATGCGACCCTGACACCAACCAAGTCGTGCATCTGTAAGCACCATTATTGCTACCAGGCAGGCAGGCAGGCAGGCAGGCAGTCAGGCCTATTGCCCAGTGTAACTGTTATACCTTGAGAATGTCATTTCAGGGCACTCAACAAGATGGATTTCATCACCCGCGGACGTGAGATGCGATCCTGACACCACCAAGTCGTGCATTACGCACCCTCCCCCCGTGCCCCCCCCCGAGGCAGCTATCGAATGGCGTCTACCTGTATGTGCTAGCTTGCGACTCTTATCCGCTCCTCCTTTTCCCGTCGTTTCACCCTGCGACGTATCTGGGACAGGCTCGCATCGTTGAGTTTCAGTTCCCAGAATCACGCAGCGACACATTGAATTCCGTCGGGTCGAATCCATCGCTGAGGACGGGGATATGATATCCATCGGGTCGAATCCGATCCAAAATCAGGGCCATCACTGACACGTGGATGCCTCTCTTACCCCTACGAACCCACAATATCCCCCCTTCTTTCCTCCTCCCGTCCTTCTTTCCTTCCTCTCTTCCGTTCCCACTTTTCCCCTTCCCCGTTCCCTTCCCCGCTGCCTTGCCCCTTCCCAGCGACATATCCAGCTTGCAGCTATCGGGGCCCATTCCAGGCGCGGACCTCGCCCAACTCTCCTACCTCACCTACCTGTGAGTCGCCGTCTCCAAGCGCCGAGTGAGCTGTGAGTTGCCGCCTCACTCGGTGCTTGGAACCGGCAGGTAAGTGCACTCTATGCGGGTGATGCGATGAGTTGTCAGTGTCTACAGCTTTCACTCACAGCTCACCGCATTGCACCGCATCTGTGCGCTGTTAGTAGTAATGCTCGAATGATACAAGTGTGTTGGTTGGTCAAAGTAATACGTGCACATACCCTCAGCTCGAATAATTATGTGCTCTCCTCTCCATGCGGTTTCATCTCCCCTCTTCACTCATACGTCCCCACTCTCCTCCTGTCTCTCTCCCCTCCTCTCTCTCGCTCACACTCTCCCTCTCTCTCTCTCACACACACAGGGCGTTGGATGGCAACACCTTCTCGGGCTCTCTGCCTGCTGACCTGTCCAGACTGTCCGCCCTGAAGCACCTGTCACTGGAAGGCAACGCAGTGGAGGGGTCGATTCCAGGCGACGTGCTGGCCTCCCTCACCGCCCTCACCCTGCTGTGAGCCCGCCCCCACTCACTGGCCCCACTTCCCCACTTCACTCCCCATGCACCATACCACGTGTCCCTCGTTTCGTTGCCCTCATGACCCTATGAATCCATAGCCCCATCGATCCATGCTTTCTACGCCTCAATGCCCCATTCTCCACTCCCTTCTGCCCACCCCCAACGGCGCCCCTCATCCTGCTTCTGTCTTCCGCACCGCAGCAACCTCGATCCAGCTGCCAGAGTTGCTGGGCGCACTCACATTCCCTTCCCCTCGTTACCCTTCCACTCGTTACCCTTCCACTCCTCCGCTTCAACCCCGCCCGGCCCCCATCACGCCCCTGTGGCCTGCCCGCAGCAACCTCAAGATGAACAACTTCTCGGGCCACCTGCCAGAGTCACTGGGCGCACTCACACTTACATTCCCTTTCGCTTGTTACACTTACACCCCTCCGCTTCACCCCCTCTTGCCCCCTCACGCCCCTGTGGCCTGCCCGCAGCAACCTCAAGATGAACAACTTCACGGGCCACCTGCCAGAGTCGCTGGGGGCACTCACTAGCCTTGTTGCACTGTGAGTCGTGTTCGCCATGCGTCTCTCTCTCCCTTATCGCATCGTGCCATTCCATAGGCATGCCATCTCCCCTCGTCCCCTCATCGTTTTCCCCTCTCTCATCCTTGCGCCTCCAGCAACCTGGGAGCCAATCAGCTGACAGGAGAGATCCCAGCAAGTTATTCCGCCCTCTCGCAAATTGTGTACTTGTGAGTCATGTCCCTCTAGTTCTCATGCCACCCCTTTTTTATTGATCCCCCCGCTGGCCCGTTGCATCTGGCCTTCAGCCCAGTGGCGCATGTTTTCTTCGTCTGCTTCGATCACACCTCCCCCTCCTCGTATCAGCGCTTATGTCGTTGCTTCCGTCTTTCAACACCCCTCCCCCATCGCTCGCCCCTCACTTGGCGCCGCTCATTCATCACCCCCTCATTCCTTGACCCTCACCACATCTCTACCATCGTCCATCACCCCTGTTGGCCCCTCACCACCACCACGCCATCACAGCAAGGCGTCGCGCAACCAGCTGGACGGCTCCCTTCCCGACTGGTTCGGCTCGTGGCCGCGACTCATGGACCTGTCAGTGCCCTCGCTCGTCCTTGCTTTCCCTCGCTGCCTCTCCCCACTCTCCCCACTCTCCCCCCTCTTGCTGCATTCCCGACTGGTTCGGCTCATGGCCGCGCCTCATGGACCTGTTGCCCTCTCTTGCCCGCGCTTGCCCTCTCTTGTTTTCCTCGCTTGTCCGCGCTTGTCCTCTTCCCTCCCTTGCTGTCGCTTGCCCTCCTGCCTCTATCCACTCCCGCCCCTCACCCTCTCCCTGCTCTACCTCACCCTCTGTGCTGCTTGCCTCCCATCCATTCCCGACCGTGTGTTTCTGAAGCGCTTCCCTCGTTTCTGTGTTGCCTTTTACTGCTTCTCCCTTGGCCCCTCCCCGTGCCAGAGAGCTCTTCAAGAACGGCTTTACAGGCTCCATTCCCGATTCTCTTGGCAACGTGCAGTCTCTGGTTGCGCTGTGAGTCGCTGGCTGACTGCCCCCGCCTATCCACACTGCCGCCCTGCTTTCCTCCTCCACCTTCTCCGCACTGCACTCCCCTCCCTCCCCCACTCACTCATTCCTCCCCCCCTCTCCTCTCTCCTTGCTGTATCAGGTCCTTGGACGAGAATGCCCTGTCCGGCTCGCTGCCTGCATCTCTGGGGTTGCTGCCGCGCCTTGAAGCACTGTGAGCTCCCCCGCACTGCACACACACCTCTGTCGTAGGCCGATTCTCGTTCCAGCAGGGCTTGACTTGTTACTTCCACGCCATTCTCATTCCAGCACGCCTTCTTACCGCCCTCACAGCCCTCCCCACTCGCCCACTCCTGCCATCATTCTCACTTCTCCCTCCACTCTTCTCCCTCAACTTCTCCCTCCGCTCTTCGCTGTAACCGCCTGGGCCCTGTGTGTGCAGCTATATAGTGTCTAACAACCTGGAAGGGCCTATCCCGGATACTTTCAGAGGCATGCAGAGCCTCAAGTTCATGTGAGTCAACTTGTGATGAAAGGCATGCAAGTTGAGGTGGGGCACGTGTGCAGCCATGCATCTGTACTTTGCCATTCGTGAACGAATGTTGCCATGGTTTCCACTCAGACTCCAAGTCAAACCATGCACACGCATTCCCACCAACATGGGACTACGGGGTGTGTCATACTACTACCCATGTTGTAGTACATACAACAGCCACCCATCGACACATCCCTAAACACCTTCGAACCGAGTCGATGCTCAATTCCACTCCTCCGCATCCCCACTGCGATCCCCGTGCCACCACCCCTGCAGCGATCTCAGCTTCAACCTACAGCTCTCAGGCTCTCTCCCAGACTTCTTTGGCGCCATGCCTTCTCTCGAGTCCATGTGAGCAAATCTCATGCCCCAGTTGCTCCACGCCTGCATTTCCCCTCACTTCACCGCGCTTCCAATGCCCCACAACCCCCTGCCTCTACACCCTCCCCCCTCCCCGCCCCTGCCTTTTTCCCGTGGCGCTGCATTATCCATCATTCTATTTCCATTATCCATCATTCTATTTCCATTATCCATCATTCTATTTCCCACGAGTCACTCTCTTTCTTGCTTTCCCCTCTCCACCCATTGCACCCCTCCACTCCGTTTCCCAACCTCCCTCTGCCCCCTTATCGTCTGCGCTTTCTCACCCTCCTCCACCCACTCTCCCTTGTCTCTCCACCCTCCCGCCCGCCCCCTCCCCCCCTATGCTCCCCCTCTCCACCTCTTCCCCAGCGCTTTCGAGTCATGTGGATTCACCGGTCCCATCCCACCCACCCTCGCATCTCTCCCCAACCTGAGAGAGCTGTTTCTCGACCACAACGCCTTGCACGGCGCCCTACCGCCCTCCCTTCCTTGCCTCACCCCCTCTCTCTTGTGGCCCCCATCCTCCCTCTCAAACCCCTCCATTCTGCCCCCCTCTCTTCCCCTCCCACCTTCCTCAGCGCCCTCGAGTCATGTGGTTTCACCGGCCCCATCCCACCCACCCTCGCATCTCTCCCCAACCTCCGGGAGCTGTTCCTCGACCACAACGCGCTGCACGGCGCCCTGCCTTCCACGCTAGCCTCCCTCTCCGCGCTCACAGCGCTCTACCTCAACAGCAACCAGCTCTCAGGGGAGATTCCCGAGGACCTGTGTGGGCTGAAGTCGCTGGGGGTGGTCATGCTGGGGCATAACGACCTGGAGGGGGGCGTTCCTGCGTGCCTGCTTGCTCTGCCCAACATCACCACGCTGTGAGTCTTGCAATGAGTTGTGGGTCTAGTTGGGCTCAGTTCTGCTGGGGGCACTTGTGCCCAACTCGAAGGCGGGGTGAGCCCAACTGAGGAATGGTGGTTGTGGTGAGGGCGGGGTGGCTGTGCTGGGAGGGTTGCATGTGTGGTTACATATGGATCATAAGGAGTTCCTTTTTCATATAGCTAGCCCTCCCAACTCATGTACCTCTTTCTACTCCATAGCATCATCTGCTTTTCATTCTCACCACTCTGCACCCCAACACTCTCCGCTCCACCCATCCTCACCCCCTTCAATATTTCTTCACCCATGCCACTCTGCAGGGACCTGTCATCCAACCGCCTGTCAGGCCCCGTCCCGCCCGTCCCTCCTGCCTCCACCATCGACTTTCGAGTCGGCGGAAACTGCCTGGAAGGAGCGCCGCAGCAGCTCTCCCCTTGCCCCACAGGGTCCCACTCCCCCTCCTCCCCTTCCTCCGCCTCCCCCACCCTTTCAACCGGCTCCCAAGGCAGTAGCAGCACCGGCAGCACTGGTGTTGTCAGCACTGGTGGCAACAGTGGCGGTAGCAGTGGTGGCAGCACGGACACTGGAAGCAGCGGTACAGCTTGGGACAGCATTTGGAATGCACCCCCTTCCCAGGAGGAGGGCGCATGGCCTGGCACAGCTGGCAGGACTGGAAACACCGGCACCAGCAGCACCAGCACTTGCACTACTGGCAGCAGCAGCAGCGGCAGCAGCAGCGGCGGCGGCGGCGGCAGCGGGACGGGGTGGGAGGATATTTGGAACTCGTCCCCATCGCTGGAGGAAGGGGCATGGCCTGTGGACCCTCTCCTGCAGACTGGCAAACCCAATGGCGGAAAGACAGACAGCCAGACTGGCGCAGGGGCAGGGGCAGTGGTGCACTCACCCCCACCGTCACCTGTGCAGCAGCAGCAGCCCCCTCCGGTTCAACCTCCTCCGGTTGAACCCCCACCGGTTGAACCTCCCCCGGCCCAGCCTCCCCCGGTGGAAGCTCCCCCCCAGGCGACCTACGGCGGTGAGTGGGGGCTGCTGTGCCGGGTGGGGGACAGGGAGGGAGGGGGGTGAGCGGCGAGGGGGGAGCCGGGAGATGAATGTTTCAAGCTCTTTTCGTCGCTGCCTCTTGCCTCCCTGCCTCTTTGCCTTCATACCTTCTTGGCCGTCTTCTTGCATAACCTCCCCGTTCGCTCTCTCTCTGATGGGTGGTTGTTGGTGGGCCTCATCTCTCATATCTCACCACCAACATGCCTTCCCCTGCCCTCTCTCTTCTCCCGCCTCCACCTCCTTCCTTTCCCAACCCCCTCTCTCTCTTTCCCTCCCCCATCTTCTCTGTCCTTTCCTCGTCTCCTCTTATCGTCTCTTCCACTATCCAACCACCCCACCTCCCCATATTCCCCCGCCCCAACTCCCCCTCTCCCCCTTGCCCCATCCCCCACAGTAGCAGCAATGGCTGCTGCAGATCAGAGCAGCAGCAGCGACAGCACAAACACATACACACCATCATCAGCACAGGGGTGGGGGTGGCTCAACTTCTGCTGCTCGCTCTCGCCCTCAAATCAGCCTTCTCGCTCCCCCATCTCCCTCTCTCTTCTCACCTGCTGTCCCCCCGCCCACCCCCCTGTATTTCCCCATCCCCCCGCCACAGTAGCAGCAATGGCTGCTGCAGATCAGGGCAGCAGCAGCGACAGCACAAGCACATACGCAAAGTCATCTGGGTGGGGGTGGCTCAACTTCCTGTTGCTTGCTCTCGTGCTCGCATCAGCCATCGCCATTGCTGCTGCATGCTTCGGCTACATCACCCAGCGCAGACCCCCCTCCTCCTCCGCCCTTGATGTCGCCCCGCCTCTCACCCTGCCTCCTCCGCGTGTCGAAGAGCGTAAGTCCCTGCACTACCTGTGAGCAATTCTTAAGATTTCCTCCTCCTCCAACCTCGCGGTCGAGCCGCCTCCCCCGCGCGTTGACGAGCATAAGACACTGCATTACCTGTGAGAGATTTGTGAGATTAAAAAAAAAAGAAAAGAAAAGAAAAGAAAGAAAGAAAGAAAAAGAAAAAGAAAAAAAAAAAAAAAAAAAAAAAAAAAAAAAAAAAAAAAAAAAAAAAAACTCCTCCCTTACCTTCGCGCCTCCCCGTGCATTGAAGAGTGTTGAGACTCCTGTGATGAAGCTCACCACCAAGGACTCCCCTCGCATCTGCTCCTCTTTCCCTTTGCCCTCTGTCCCCCTGCACTCTCTTCCCGTTTGATTCCCCTCCCCAGTGCCAGTGACGGAGTACGGGCTGTCAAAGATAAAGCGCTCCACAAAGAACCTCACCACGCTGTACGGCAAGGGTAGCTTCGGCACCGTCTACCTGGCGCAGGACTTCCTGCCTGACCGCACCAACCCGCATGTCATCATCAAGAGGGCACACGACCCTGAGAGTGAGTTGGATGCGCGAGATGAGGGGTGTGGATGCAGAGATGCAGAGAGGAGAAGGCGGACGAGCTGGTAAGGGCACCTTGCCATGCCACTCACTCTCACCGTCCCACCATCCCTTCCCCACCACCCCTCCTCCTCCCGCCCATTGCGTTCTACCGCAGAGATGAGCGAGGAGCAGTTGAAGGAGAAGGTGGATGAGCTGACACGGGTGAGGCATCTCTCACATGCACAGTCCCACCGCCCCCCTCCCCCTCTTCCCCCCACCGTGCTCCCTTTGCCTGCTACGGTACTGCAGAGATGAGCGAGGAGCAGTTGAAGGAGAAGGTGGATGAGCTGACACTGATGAGGCATCTCTCACATGCACAGTCCCACCGCCCCCCTCCAACTCTTCCCCCCACCGTGCTCCCTTTGCCTGCTACTGCAGAGATGAGCGAGGAGCGGTTGAAGGAGAAGGTGGATGAGCTGACGAAGGCACCTTGCCATGCCGTGCCTCTTGCATGCAGACCCCACAACCCCCCCACCGGTGCCATTTCACAACCCTCCCCACTTCCCCCCCTCCCGTGCCTCCTTTGGGATCCACTGCAGAGATGAGTGAGGAGCAGTTCAAGGAGAAGGTGGACGAGCTAGCGAGGGCAAGGCACCGGTGTCTGGTGGCGCTGCTGGGGTACTGCATGGGCAAGACCGAGAGAATGCTCGTGTTTGAGTATATGCCCTATGGCACACTCTTTGACCGCCTGCACCGTGAGTCCACACACTCTTTGATTGGAGGAGCTTTTCGAAAATTATTGCGTGCTTCAGTCCTTGCATGCTTCACTCCTTGCATGCTTCGGTCCTTGCATGCTTCGGTCCTTGCATGCTTCACTCCTTGCATGCTTCAGTCGCTTCAGTAAGAACTGAAACATGCAAGGACTGGAGCATGCAAGGACTGAAGCATGTAAAGACTGAAGCATGCAAGGACTGAAGCATGCAAGGACTGAAACATGCAAGGACTGAAGCATACAAGGACTGAAGCATGCAAGGACTGAAGCATGCAAGGACTGAAGCATGTAAGGACCGAAGCATGCAAGGACTAAATCATGTAAGGACTGAAGCATGTAAGGGCTGAAACATGTATGAGCACGCACAATTATGTAGTCAAGCACATGCCATCGTCAAGCACATGCCATCGTCAAGCACATGCCATCGTCAAGCACATGTCATCGTCAAGCACATGTCATCGTCAAGCACATGCCTATCGTCACCCCCCTTCCCCCCCCCCGCCCCCTCTGAACTCCCTCTTTTCCCAAATACCCGTGCTACAGTGTCCAACCCCGCACCGACCCCATGCCGTGGGATGCATGCGCGGGGGTGGCGGTGAACGTGGCGTCTGCTTTAGCCTATCTGCATCACGGCGTGTACACCCCCCTCTCACCCACCGCGCTGTCACCCCAACAACCCACCCCTCCCCCCCAACACCCGTGTGTGTCCCTCAGGCTCCAACCTGAATCCCATGCCATGGGATGCACGGGTGCGACGGTGAAGCCTAAGGTACAAAACCTAACCCCCTCATCCCGCCCCACCCCTCTCCCCTTCCCCCCAACGCCTGTGTGTGTGGCACAGGCTCCAACCTGGATCCCATGCCATGGGACGCACGCGTGCGGGTGGCGGTGAACGTGGCATCAGCGCTGGCCTATCTGCATCACGGCGTGGACCCGCCTCTCACCCACCGCGCTGTCACCTCCTCCAACGTGCTGCTCGGCGCTGATATGACCGCCAAGGTGTGTGTGCTTTCACTGCTGCGCTCATGGTGTAGCTCTCATTGCTGCGACGCTCGAGCCGTAAAGAGCTCCAGCTCTCATTGGTGGTTGGGCGTCGCACGCACCAATGAGACGACGCTGGGTTTAGGTGTGCGTAACCACCCTCGCCGCGCAGCAGACGACCTGGCGCGTCAGAGCCTGGCGCACCACAGCTCACGCACCCGCTCAATCCCTTTCCACCCCTCTTTACCCCTCCCTCCCATCCTTGCAACACCAGCTGTCCGACTATGGGCTGGCGAGGGGCTGCGCTGCACAAGCAGCGGACGACCTGGCACGGCGGCGCCGCGCACACCGCAGCTCCCACAGCCGCTCAACCCCTTCCCAACCCTCTTTACCCTTCTCTCCCACCAGCTGTCCGACTACGGGCTGGCGAGGGGCTGTGCGGCCCAGGCAGCAGACGACCTGGCACGGCGGCGCCGCGCGCACCGCAGCTCACGCAGCCGCGGCACGAGCATCGGCAGCACGGGGCAGCTGGACAACCTCCGCGGGGGCACCAGCCCTGGCAGCAGCACCCGCAGCAGTGCTGGTGGCGGTGCTGGTGGCGGTTCTGGTGGCGACTTGCTGGGCGGTGTGGGCGGGCGGTCGTTTGGGAGTGGGAGGCGGCGCGGTGGTGGGGAGAGTGCGAGCGCGTACACGGATGGGGAAGCGGTGCTGTCACGGGAAAACACGCCCGCGCGGGAGAGGGAGCCGATGCTGTCTAGGGAGAACACGATGACGAGCATGGATGAGAGGAAGGCGGATGTGTATGGGTTCGGAGTGGTGCTGCTGGAGCTGATCACGGGGCAGAAGGCCATGCAGGACGTGCATATCACCAGCCTGGTAGGATGCGGTAGAAGGCGGTGGAGTGTGGTTTGGTGCGGTGGAGCATGGTGGGGTGTGTGCACTGGGTGGTGTGTTGCTGGGGTATGTGGGACGTGGATGGGTTTGGTATGGTTCTGGTGGAGCCTGGAGCTGATAATACGAGCACGAGGTCGTGCAGTACAGCATGGTTCAGTGCGGTCGACTGTGGTGCATGCACCGTGGTGTGTATAGTGTGGCATGTGGAACATGTGGTGGTGACATGCATGGTGTGCATGGTGCATATCACCAGTCTCACTGGCCGGCCGCATTGCCAGCATAATAAGAGTATGCCACCGTCATCTTACACCTTCTCGTTCTCCCCGCATCTTTAATCCCTCTCTCTTTTCTCTCTCCTCTCTCGTCCGTTCCATCAGGCGGCGCCCTTCCTGGAGGATGATCAGATGATGCCCCTCATGGCTGACAGCGCTCTCGCAGGTGCGCTCTCGTGCTCCCAGTCATTCACTCCTCTGTCTGGTCACATCAAGTGGCACATTATTGTTCTTCTTTAGAAAATCAGCCCTTTCTAGAGGATGACCAGATGATGCCCCTTATGGCTGAACCCGCCCTTGCTGTTGCTCTCCTGCTCCCATGCCCCCATGCCCCCGTGCTCCCATGCTCCCATGCTCCCATGCTCCCTTTCTCCTATGCCCCAATGCTCCCATGCACTCATGCCCTCATACCCGTGTGCCCTCATGCTCCCACACGTGCATCCACACACGTCCCTACAACATGCCCCTACCCACCAGGCTACTTCAACCAGGACGAGCTCGTCTCTCTCGCCTCAATCGCCCGCGGCTGCGTGCACCAAGCGCCCTCGCAGCGTCCCTCCATGCTCGACGTCCTGAGAGCCCTCGAAGACACAGTTGATGAAGACCTCGTCTCCTCCCTCCACGGCCCTAGTGCTCCTGCTCCCGTGCTCCTTACACCCATGTCCCCCTGCCCCCATGTTTTTATGCCCTGCCCCCCCATGCTTTGTACCCACCAGGCTACTTCAATCAGGACGAGCTCATCTCCCTGGCCTCCATAGCACGGGACTGTGTGCACCAAGCACCCTCGCAGCGCCCCTCCATGCTCGACGTGCTGCGAGCCCTCGAGGACACAGTCGACGAGGACCTACTCTCCTCCCTCCACGGCCCCTCCACGCGCCTCCTCTCCCCCGGCTCCACTGCCAGTGCCATCACCAGCACCAGCAACGGGGACCGGTACACCGCCCTGGCGAATGATGGTGCTTTTGACGATGCTGCTGGGGGGGGAGTGGGGATGGGTGGAGGAGCAGGGATGGGGGGAGGAGCGGGGATGGGGGGAGCGGGAGCGGGGAAGCGGAGTGCGGGGTCGTCGTTCATTGAAGCGATTTCGGCGTCGTTTCGGAGGCGAGGGGATGGGGAGAAGGGTGGGGGGAAGGGGGAGGGGGTGCAGAGGGGGGCGGGGCAAGGCCCCCCGTCGCTGAATCTGTCAGGGAGGAGTGATACCTCTGACATGGAGAGCTCGTCCCTGCTTTACATTACCCCCAAGGGGCACTGAGACACTGACTCGTTCCCTTGGCTTCTCGAGGTGGAACCACTCGTTCTCCCCTCCCTTGTCTCAAGTGGCATTCACATCCATGGGCTAAAGTGGCATTGGCTTTTGAGACGTCTCAAGACTCGGTCGGGGGAGAGTGATGCGTGAAATGTGGAGTGATGGTCCCCAGGGTGCTCGATGTCATCCCCCACTAATGGTTTGTTAGAATTACTGAGCATGCCAGCTCTTTTTCTTCCCCCTTCTTTCCCACCCAAGGGCAGGTCATTTTCTTCCCTTCGTCACATTTTGGGGTCCGCCTAGGTACTGTACCACAACCTAGGACTGCTGGGCTTTCCTTTTACGCGCAGACGAGGGATGCTTTCTGTAGTGCATTGTTCACTGAAGGACAGCGGCCATGGTCGGTGTAAATCACATTACATGATGGGTTAGTGTGGGTGGGTGCACTGTATATTATTTTGTTAACATTTAATTTAAGGGTTTGTGATGGGTGTGGCAAGCAGCATATATCCTCAGAAGAACAGTCATTGATTGTACATCAAGTACCATACGAGCTTGATGGTACACACAGATTATGACCTTGCAACAGAAGCTGTGTAAGGAATAAATGCAAGGCAGGAAGCAGCACAGCACAGCACAGCAGCATGTGGTGACGGTAACATGCCTCTGAAAGAAGGGCACATTGAGATTGGTAAGGGGAGCCTATAAGAATGCTCCCTTTGATTTAGGTAGTGTATAAGAACCTTCCATTTCCATTTACCCTCTCCCACTTCTCCACCCACCGCCGCCACCACCACCACTGCCTCCCCTCCTGTTCCCCCCATATCCCCCTCCCCCACCACCTCTGCTGCCACCACCACCACCAAACCTGCCACGCCCACCACTGCCCCCTCCCCCCCCTCCCCCTCCACCTCCTCCCCATCTTCTTGGGCCTCCGGGACTGAACGAGGGAACACACAGGGGCGCATGGAAAATAGGGAAGGAGGAGGAGAAACGGGAGGAGAGTGTGGAGAGGAGGGTGCATGGTGGAGGTCTGCTACGTGGTAGAGGACGAGGAGGAGAGAGTGAGAGGGAAGTGGGTCATATCAAAGGAAATGCGATCAGCACCATTGATTCATATTGGGCACATCACAGCTCATCTGACCCATTACAGGGATGCAGATGTCTGCGCAAGTTGGGTCATCCTTTCGCAAGAGAAGAGAGAACGTTGCAAGTAAGGTAAAGACACGGCAGTGGTTGAAAGGCTTGAAGTGTGAGCAGCTGGGCAGGGAAGCCAGGAGACGTGGATAAGCAAAGCTGCGATCAGCACCGTTGATTCATTTTGCGCACATCACGGCTCATCTGATCCGTTACAGGGAGACAGATATCAGCGCAAATTTGGTCATCACTTCACAGCAGCACACCCTCATGCCCAGGTGTCAGAGCAACAGCAAGCATTCCGCAAAAAAAAAGGGTTCAGAAATACGTTATGTGCTGTGAAAGGGAAAAAAGAAGGCCAACAGACCTTGCTACGTCCCCTCCTTGTAAAAGTCCCATCTAACACCTTCATTTGTTGCCCATGCATGTTGCTCATCTGTTGCAATGCGCCCTCACCTGCTGCTTGTCATGGGCGCTTGTTTGAGCTCGGGGAGTGTCTTTGCCTCCTCCACCTGGATATTTGAAAACCCGTTGCCTGCCGCCGCTGCCGCCGCTGCAGTGACAGGGAGAAAGCGAGAGGCGAGAGGCGAGAGGGGGAAAGCGGGAGGCGAGAGGCGAGACGCGAGAGGCGAGAAGTGAGAAGTGAGAGAGGACAATGCGACAACACCAGTCGGCGGAGGTTTCAATGGAAGGTGGTTGAGTTAAAACACACACATTTCAGATAGAAGGTGGTTGGTCCTTTTCCTTGACAGGCACGTCAAAGACGTGAGAAAGGTGGGAGGTGAGAGAAGTGAGAGGTGAGAGTGAGAGGTGAGAGCGATGAGATGGCAGATTAAGCGCCTCACCTTTGAGGTAAAGATCCTTATCCTTCACAGGCACGTCGAAGACGGCCCCACAGCCGTCAGCCGTGAGGGTGATGCCATTGATTGCCCGTGTCTGGTCCGGTGTGAGGTGCTGCTCGAAGAACCGTAGCACGTAGCTGCCGTGGAAGAGGGCAAGGGGCAAGCCGCAAGGGGGAAAGCGTTTGAGACGCCTCAAAGCTTAATGGCTCGTGCCTGGTCTGGTATCAGGTGCTGCTCAAAGAACTGTAGCATGTAGCTGCAGCGGATGAAGGGGTGATGGTGGGGGGAGGGGGGAGGAAGAGAGGGGGAGGTGTGAGAATTCTGCGCTTCTAGGAGGATAAGAAAGAACTACAGGCACACTAGGAAAGCGAAGGAAAGAAAAATGCCCCCACGCACGCGCACGCGCGCGCACACACTTAAGCATGCAGTTTTGCATGGGGTAAGGGCTCACGAGGGCGAGTAGAAGGGTGAGACGCAGCGCAGCAGCAGCGTGACTTGGTCCTGCTGACTCAACAGCAGTGAGCGCGCCTTGAGCTCCGTGTGACCCTGTGTGTGAAAGAGAGGGAGAGAGAGAGAGAGCCGGGCCATGCCACACCACCATGCCATGTGACATAGGAGAAACGGAGGGGGGAGAGAGGGGAATATGAGAATGTGGTTTAGGGGCATGGCAGGGAGAAAACACACGTGGCGAGGTCCTACAATGTGCTGGTTTTTGAGAATTCTCAAAAACCAGCTCGTCCTACAATGTGCTATGAATGCAAGTGCACACATCTTGCCGTGACCCATACATCAAAGAGGCAGGCATGCAAACAGTCAGGCGAGCAGGCGGGTGGGCAGGCAGGAGCAACTCACGGCGAGGCAAGCAAGGGCTTTGGCAAGCGCAGCGAGGGGCGAGAGGCCAGTGGAGTCGATGAGCTCCTGGGCTGAGCCCTCAAACAGCGGCACCACACTGGTGTTTAGGGGGGGTGGGGAAGGGTGGGTGTTGAGGGGAGTGCGTGCAATGAGTTGACTCAAACTACACTAGGCGGGAACAGCGAGGGGCGAGAGGCCGATTGAGTCGATAAGTTCCTGGGCTCAGCCCTCAAACAGCGGCATCACACTGTTTAGGGGGGATGGGAGGATGACAGGGTGTTGGGGGGTAGAAGACAAGGGTTTCATCATGCGTATGCGCATGCGTATGCGCATTTCATCAACTCAATGCGCGCCCAGAACCCCTTTCGCTAATACAGCCTGCCCCCACCTGCCCCCAACGCCCCCAACTGTCCCTCACGCCCTCACCAGTCCCTCACGCCCTCACCAGTCCCTCACGCCCTCACCGGTCCCTCACGCCCTCACCTGTCCCCCACGGCCTTGACTTTGGTGGTGACTGCAGCGGAGGCGACTTTAACGAGGTCAGCAGGCTGTGGTGGGCTGACGCGCTCGAACTTGACGCCCGCTGTGTGCTCTATCTGCGCCACTATCCGCCCCGCCCACCTGTCCGCCACCAACACTGACACCCCCGTGTTGCCTGGTTTTGGGGGGGTGGGTGGGGGAGTGAGTGGGGGAACAAGTGAGGGAGAGGCACGGAGGAGGCAGGGCTTTCGTGAAAGAAACTGGCGAGTGAGTGAAAGAGTGAAAGCTAGCAGACGAAGCAGGGAGAGGAAAACTGTCTTGAAAGCCTGCATGGAGCACCACTACCCCCCAACCCTGCACTTCCATTGCTGGTACTCTACCAGGGCTATTTCCGTACCTGCACGGCCGGTTCGGCCAGACCGATGGATATAGGTCTCGACGGTGCGGGGGACCTGCGCCTGCAGAACAAGCTGCACGTCGCTGATGTCCAACCCCCTGGCCGCCACATCTGTTGCCACCAACACTTGAAAGGCGCCCGATTTGAACGCTTTCAGCACCACCTGTTGACCCAACAGGGGGTGTGGAGAGAGGGAGGGCATGGGGTGAGAGAGGGGAGCCAAAGGGAAAGACAATATGGGTGCAGCACGAGGTGCACGTCGCAGATGTCCAACCCCCTCGCCGCCACGTCCGTTGCCACTAGCACCTGAAAGGCGCCCGACTTGAACGCTTTTAGCACCACCTGTGGGAGGAAACATGAGGAGGGGAGAGGCGCATGTGAGAGGGACAAGTAGTGGGAGAGGCAGCACGAGCTGCACGTCACTGATGTCCAACCCCCTGGCTGCCACGTCCGTTGCCTCTAGCACCTGAAAGGCCCCTGACTTGAAGGCCTTTAGCACCACCTGTGGGAGGAAAAACGAGGAGTGGAGAGGGCATGTGAGAGGGGCGGGTGGTGGGAGAGTGAGGACGAGCATGTGCATACGTGGCATAGATGGTGCTGCTGCTGCCAACTCACTCACCTCGCGCTGCTGCATGCTGACTCACCTCGCTGTTGATGACTCACCTCACGTTGCTGCTGACTCACCTCAAGTTGCTGCTGACTCACCTCGCGCTGCTGCTGCACCACGTCGCCGTGCAGTGCGCGCGCCCCCAGGTGCGCCAAGTTCTGCGCGTACTCTGAGGCGGCGCTCTTTGTGTCCACGAACAGTATCACCTTGCCGCCGCTGCCAAGGGGGGGAAGGGGGTAAGGACGGCGGGTACGACGAAGGAGGGAAAGAGTTCAATGCTCTGCGCGTACTCTGAGGCGGCGCTCTTGGTGTCCACGAACAGAATCACCTTGCCGCCACTGCCGGTGTGGAGCGGAAAGGGGAGATGGCGGGGGAGGAGAAGGGGGGAAAGGGGGAGACGGGGGAAGAGAAGGATGAGCGCAATGTTGAAGGGGCACGGAAAGGCGCGCATGTACACAAGGAAAAAGGTCGTAAACGAAGAATGCAGGCAGCAGAAAAAAGGGGGAGCGGGGGATGGGGGAAGGGGGCGAGGGGCGAGGGGCGAGGGGGGAGGGGCGAGGAGGGAAGGCGGGGATGTTGCGGAACCGAGGGGGGGAGCAACTGACAGGCTGTAGGTGGCGATGACGTCAGCGACGAGTTGGAAGCGCTGTTTGGTGTGGCAGGGCATGAGCAGGTGGCGCACGTTGGTGCTCGCCTTCTGCCGCTCGCCGCCCACCAGATCCACCACGCGCTTCTCCTCGCGGAAGAACCGCTTCGATATCTGGTGCAGTGCGGTGGAGTGCGGTGGGGTGGGGTGGGGTGGTGTGTGGTGGGGTAGGACAACGCGCGGGCGTGGGAAGGGGAGGGAAGGCAGGTTTCGCGTAAGTTTTGCGCACGTGCGCTTGTCCTCCCGGAAGAGCGCGCGTAGATCGTGGGGCGAAAGGCACGCAGAAGAACGAGGGCAGGAGAAGATAGGCGTGGCAGCGAAAGAGCGGCGAGCGAGCGGCGAGAGGGTGAGTGACTGACCTTGTTGACCCACTCGGGCACGGTGGCGCTGAAGAGCAGCGTCTGCACCTTGGACTGGTCGTCCACCGACTCTGCGCCACCACGCGCATACAGGAAAACAAATTGGAAACAAATGTGTTAGCGCTTGCATCGCAACGTGGATACGGAAAGCTCTAGGAGAGAGGACAACGACGCAGCAGCCTACTCGCGCAATTCCCCTCGCGCAGCCCATTCGCCGCCTTGCAAACTCACTGAGGATTGTCTCGACGTCGTCGACGAAGCCCATGTCGAGCATCTCGTCCGCCTCGTCCAACACGCGGAAGCGCACCTCGTTCAGCTTTAGCGACCCGCGCTGCAACAGATCCTGTATCCGGGGAGAGAAGCAGCGGGCAGCATTGGGAAAGCCGGAGAGGATTAGGGAGGACGCAAAGTAAAAAGAATACGGAAGAGACGGATAGAAAAAAAAAAGAGCGGAGAACAATCAAGACTGCAGAGACCTCAAGGGGTTTGCATAACTCTTCGTGCAAGGGGGGAGGGAAAGGGTGGGGGGAGGAGAGGCGGGTGGGGGTTTACGGGGTTCAAGGGTTTGGGGTTGGGAGCTACCTTGATACGGCCAGGCGTGCCGACAACGATATCGACGCCGCGGAAGAGCGCGCGCTCCTGCGGGCCCATGGGCGCGCCGCCGTACACGCACACGACGGACATGCCGGCGGCGCGGCCGATGTACTCGAAGTCGTCGCCGACCTGCTTCGCGAGCTCGCGCGTCGGCGCCAGCACGATCACGCTCGGCAGCTTGCTGCGGCTCGCGAACCCGGCGCCGGCGCCCTTGCCGCCGCTCTCCTTGAGCATCTTCAGGCGCTCCACGATCGGCAGCACGAACGCGAGCGTCTTGCCCTGCCCCGTACGCGCGCGCGCGATGATATCGATGCCGTCCATAGCGAGGTCGAACGTCTGGGCCTGGATGGGGAAGAGCGACGTGATGGACTTGCGGCGCAGCGCGGCTTTCACGGCCGGCGACAGCCGGAAATTGTCGAGGCTGTTCGGATCGTCCTCGCGATCCTCCTCGTCCGCCGCCGGCGGCTCCTCCGGACCGTCCGAAGCGCCGTCAATCTCGCCCGCGGTCTCCGTTCCAGCTCCGTTAGCTTCGTCAGAAGACTTTGACGCGTCGGCAGATCCGTCAGAATCCTCCTTCTCCGGCTCCTCCGCTGGCGCCTCTGGTTCTTTCAACTTCTTCTGCTTCTTCTTTGACTTCTTCGCCGAACCTTCCTCCGCGGATTCTGCCAGGGCCTTCTTCGACTTCTTCTTCGGCGTAACTTCCTCCCCCGCCGGCTCGGCTGACGACGTGGAGTCGCGCTTCCGCTTCACGGGCGTATCGGCGTCCTTGCCTTTCTTCTTGGATTTCTTCGCGGAGACCGGATCGGACGGCGAAGCTCCATTCTCGTCAGCCGCGAGGGCTTTGGATTTCTTGGCGCTGATGGGAGTCGCCACCTGCTGCTCGTCCGCGGCCATCGCCGTGGCGCCCTTGACCTTGGAAGACACTCCAGGCATCGCTTCTGGAAAAAGACTTGGTGCGAAAAACGGCAAGACTTCAGAAATGTATCGACTATCCGAACAGAAACCCCAAATTTAACTCAAAAGAGTCGTTCGGAGCAAGAATTGGCACTGTCCTGATGGTTGGTACTGTTTCCAATAACAGCGCGTTCAGGAGCAGCGAAATCAAGTCCCGCCGCGAGGGCTGGACTTACAACAGCGGCAAGCCGCTGAGGAAGAGAAGGCTCGAGTCCGGCCGCGAAGGCTGGACTTGTCAGAGACGAGCAGCAACGATGCTCGTGAGCGAGCGAGAGAGAGGAGAGCTAAAGCCCTTCACGCAAGGGCGTTGAAAAGAGCCTCCATGGACAAACAGCCAGCTGCTTGTAGTGGAGGATGGATGGGGAAGATGATGTGGAGAAAGGCCGACGGTGGGGCTTAGCTGGGTTGAGTACGGCATAGATTGGTAAAAGAGGAGCATGGTTCTTGGGAATGGTTGGTGGGAAATGGGGTTGGAGTTGGCCGCAACTGTGGCCCGTTAATTGGACAGTTGGTGACCTGCCCTTAAAAAAAGTGCAAGTCTGGCCAATCCAAGAGCTTGGCGGTTTGTTGATCGAATCTAGTCCGCTGGTGTGAGGTCATCAGGGACGATAGATACTGGTTACGCTCCACGTGGAGTAGCTTTATGCCTTCGGACCATGTCTCGCAGGCTGTATGTGTTGCCGCAAGACATCGTCACTTGCCCCAACGCTGGAGGTTCGTTGCTCGGCTACACGTCCTTTTACTTTTGACCATTAGGAAGGAACATAATATTTCCTCAATCAACTAGTGATTGACTTGTATTGAAGTACTAATTCCATAAACCAGTTTCTTTCAGATTTTTTCAACAGTTCTTTCCTTTCATAAGTGGCTCAAAATCATAAATGCCGTTTTACTATAACGTAATTACAATAACATTGAGAAAAATATCTATCGACAGCCACACTATCTATACTCCAATAATGCTCTCGCTATATCGAACGCTACAGTCAAGCTTTCGTGGTTGTGCCGATCTAGTTCCAGGAAATCCTGTGTTTCCCAAAATCCTTTCTGACGAACAAGAGCGGTTTTGTTTCTTTTCTGAACGGTTTCATATGTTTCTGAGCGATTACGTACACAAATCTTGCCACAGCGGTACTTGGACACGGACCCTGTCGGACCTTCGAGTCCAGTTCTGTCCGTTTGGTTTGTCAAGGGAACACTGATTCTGCCGCCAGCTATACGGTATGCCGTGCACGCAACTCTTTTGCTGATGCCAGCGCGGGTGACCATTTATTATCTAGCTCTACCTTTCAGCTTAGGTCCATACAAGTCGTCCTTAGCCGTCTTAGAGTCTTACACTTTTTAGGCCTTTAAGATTCTCGTAAATAGTCGAGGGTTTCTCTGGATTAGCAGTCAACATTGACCAGACAATGGGGACATTCATGTCCTTTTTACACTGTAACAGTCGCCTAGGAGCTCCGTGACAGTAAATGCTTACTTGCTCTCTAAATTACTCTGATTCTCCTAGTGACCCTGTTCGCTTGAGCTATTCAGCGTAACTGTCGTATCGTAGCAACCACGATGAGCACGAGCACGGCCAGCAGCCGGCAGTTCTCCCGGCGGCAGTCCATAGATCCACACTCCAAGTCCACCCAAGCAGCCGCTCATGGCGCCCTTAGAGCCAACCCCGCGATTCCGCCTCCCACACCCAAGGGAAAGCCGGCAAAGTACGGGCTGGGGGAGGATTCGATGATCGGGCAGGAGATCAAGCACCTGGAGTCCGAGTCGTTCAACGCGGACCAGTTCATGCAGGCCAAATGCAAGGCCATGAGCGAAAAGGTGCGTCGCTCGCGAAATGCAAAGCCGTGAGCGTAAACGTGCGTCGCGCGCGAAATGCGAAGCCGTCAGAGCAAAATTGGCGTTCGAATCACGGCATGGCCCTTGAATGTGGGAAATTCCATTCCTAAACTCACGCATTTGACTCACATATCTCACTCGCGGGTCCAGCTCACTCGTTTAACTCACGTCTCACATATCTCACTTGATGCGCAGTCGCTGCGGAAGCTATGCGCGGAGCTGGTGGACTTCAAGCGCGCGTCCGCGGAGGAGATGCGCAAGAGCGTGTACGCCAACTACAAGTCCTTCATCCGGTACGCCCATCCCTCTCCTTATCCTGTCAGCCCGTCCCTGTCCCTGTCATTATGTCGCTCGTTATGCAGCATGCGAAATATGCCACGTCAAGTGTGACGCACAGTATAACAATTTTCTCACTTCGTTTTCTATTCCTCTTTGTTTCCACTTCCCTCCCACCCTACACGCCCTACCCTCGTCTCCACTCCTCTCCACTCCTCTCCGCTCATCTCCACTCCACTCCTCTCCGCTCCTCCCCACTTCACTCCTCTCCACTCCTGTGCATCTCTCTCCACCCCTCTCCACCCCTCTCCACCCCTCTCCACCCCTTTCCACTCCTCTCCACCCCTCTCCACTCCTCTCCACCCCTCTCCACCCGTCTCCACTCCTCTCCACTCCTCTCCACCCCTCTCCACTCCACGCCATTCCTCTCCACTCCCCACGGCCTCTTTGTGTGCCCTGGGCAGCACGGCGAAGGAGATATCGGAGCTGGAGGGCGAGCTGCGCAGCGTGCGCTCGCTGCTCACCGCACAGTCCACGCTCATCCACTCGCTCTCCGACCGCTCGCCCATCGTGCAATCCCACCTCGCCGACCCTGACCGCTCCGTTTACGAGGACGACAAGGAAGCTTCCTCGCAGGAGGCCAATCTGCTGCAGATCCCGGATAAAATGGCCGTGTGCCTGGCAGAGAGGCGGATAGACGAGGCGTTGGATCTCCTAGCGAAAGGTGAGGATGCGGTGGTGATGTGCCGTTCGGGGCAGCGGCCGGCAGTGAATAAAGAGGCTCTGGAGAGCCTAGACTCGAGCCTGGCTGAGAAGCGCGCCGAGCTGGTTGACCTGCTGGCGAGGATCACCCTGCAGCCGTCGGTTCGGCGAGCGGAGCTTCGGCACGCCGTGGCTGCACTGGCGAGGCTCGGCGACCCCAAGCGTGCTCACACGCTCATGCTGGCGTGCCACGGTGCGCAAGTGCAAGCAGCTGTGCAGCCCCTGCGCCCGGGCGGCGTATCCTACGGTGCAGCTTACACGGCCAAGATCTCACGGCTGGTATTCTCCACTATCCTGGCAGCAGCGCAGGACTCCAAGGCCGTGTTCGGCGACACGCCCTCCTGTGCCTCGGAGCTGGTGCTCTGGGCGCACGGGCAGACAGAATGGTGCGGGGATCTCCTCCAGCAGTACGTGCTGACGTCGGCGGCGGCAGCTGGCGGGCTGCGATTGGCCGCGGAGTGCGTGCAGATCGCAGTGGGGCATTGCTCTCTGCTGGAGGATCATGGGCTGGCGATGGCGCCTGTGCTGATGCGGCTTGTGCGGCCTAATGTAGAGAGGGCGTTGGAGGCGAACATAAGGCGGATAGAGGAGAGCGTGCAGGCCATGGCTGCCGGGGACGACTGGTCGCTGCTGCCCGTGCCGTCGGCCCCGCGCAGCGCTGCTGCTCGCCTGCTGCCGGATGCTCCTGTCGCAAATTTCCGGCTCACCAGCAGCGCGTACCGGCTCTACTCCATGGTGCAGGTGCGTCCTCTGAACTTCCCTTACCCCTCTCCGCCCTCCCTCGCTCTCCCTCCTCCCGCCTCCCCTGTCCCTCTCTCTCTCCGACCCTCTGTCTCCCTTCCCACCTTACCCCTACCTCACTCTCCCTCCTTGCCCCTCCCCCCAAACCCCCCTCTGTGCACAGGACTTTCTAGAGGACGTGGTGCCGATAGTGAATCTGCAGCTCAACAGTCCCTCCCAGCATCCATTGTCCCCTCTCTCCTCTTTCTTCTCCCTTGCCCCTTCCCCCACATCCCCTCCCTATCAACAGGACTTTCTAGAGGACGTGGTGCCGATAGTGAATCTGCAGCTCACCACACCCACGCTCGACGGCCTAGCTCACCTGTACTCCCAGTACACAGCTATGCTCAACCGCGCGCGCACCCCCGAAGACTCCTCCTCCGACTGGGACGCCTCCGCCTCTGCCGCTGCCTTTGCCGCCTCCACGAGCCTCGCAGGGGGCCCTGGGGAAGCCGCCGGGGAAGGGGGGGAGGGGGTTGGCGGTGCAGGGGCAGCAGGGATTGTGAACAAGGCCGTTACTGACCGGCAGCAGCTCGCGCTGATAGCCAATGCGGTTACTTTGGCTGATGAGCTGCCGAGGCTGGCGGCGAGATTGACGCAGCCGGTGGCGGGGCAGCGGGCGAGTAGGGAGCAGAGGAGGAGTTCGGGCGGGGAGGCGAAGCGGCAGCAGCTGCAGGCGTGGAAGAAACAGCTGAGTGAAGGCGTGGAGAATCTGCGCATGGGGTTCTGCCTGCAGAAAGCCACGGAGTTATTATACCCGGATGCATGCATGGATGATGCGCTGCTGCCTAATCTCTACTTCCTCATGGATCAGGTGGGTGGGTGGGCGGGTGTGCTGCGGGTGACTGAGAGGGAGGTAACACTGAATGGGCGTGGAGAATCTGCGGATGGGGTTCAGGGTGCGCGGGTGTGGTGTGGTGTGGTGTGGGTGTGATCCGGGTGTGCTGCGGGTGTTTGGAAGGGAGGGTGCTTGGGAGTGAGATCCGGGTGATTGGGAGTAGGAAGGAAAGCTGTCAGAAGGAAACTCTCTGTCTATGTTGCTCTGTGTCATGTGTACCTCCTTTCTATTCCATTTTCCTTCGGGAATGTGTGAAAACCAACCCAATTCGTGCCACCAGGTGAAAACAGATCCATCGCTCTGGTTCGTTGATGCTTCAGTGATGCCCAGCCATCCGAATTCTAGTAGACTTATAATCCCTATTCCATGTCCCTTCCTTCAAATGTGTGAACCCCAACCCACCCGGTGCCATCAGGTGAAGTCAGGTCAATCACTCTGGTTCAATGACGCCCAGCCATTCGATGTTATTGTCGACTCAAACTCCCTA